CCAATTCCTGTTTTCTGTAGCTCTTTCATCAAGTCGTTGTTCATTTGTGGAATTTCAGAGGGTATCCAAGCAAAATTCAATGCATTTGGGTCAGTATAACCCTAAAAGATAATGCATTACATTACAGATGTCAAAATGACCACCTTTCAATAATATGTTGACTTGACATACAAAGTAGTTGTTCAAGTGGTGACTTTGAGAAACATGATCCACCACAAACTGGATTTTAATCTTTCTTTCACAGACATGACAAAGGTAGAAACCATTTCTTACTTCTGGACTGAAACACAAGGTCATCTGGGACAAACCTACAACTAATTATACTGTAATTAACCTCTCCATCTAAAAGGTAACATCACATTATCCCACATAAAAACAAACCTGGTATTTGGTCTGGAATTTTGCAAGCATAATCTTTATAGAAAATCCATGGAGTGTAGACTGAAAAAACATATTTGCAAACATGAACTAATCAAGGACAAATAATGAACATTAGATACAGACAGACTTGGGCTTACAGTGTCGATGGTAATACTCTACAAAAAGACAAAAACAAATATGAGACATTTGAATCAGGACAAATTACATTGCAAGGAAATAGCAAAATGTTTCACCATCTGGGTAGACTTTCTGGAAATTCTGCAAAATAAATAGGCAGTGTTTCGGTTACTAAACACAATATTAGAAAAACAAAACAAAAACAAAAAAACATACAAAACATTCACTCACCTGTTTATGTACAGATGAGGTCATGTGCTTCTTGAAGTCAAAGACTCTAGTAAATAATGTGTTGCAGATCTGGAACACACAAAAAGCACCACAAAAATCTGATATCAGCAAGGATTCATACCTTCTTGCTCACTGGTACCAATTTGCAAATAAATGGTAAATTTGATTAAACAGATAATTAAATAAAGTAGTACATATAATGACATTATAAATGTCTAAAAAGTGAATATGTTAAAGCAACATCTTGTCACTTTCTGAAGGTTGCATGTCACCTGCATGAATCCAAGGAAATAGAAAGTTGGAACATGGAACATTCTTAATGGAGGTCATACTGTGGAATAACAAGCAGGAGGTTGCACCCTTCCAGGCCAAATTAAAGTTAGATTTTTGGAGATGCAAGTGCGCTCACAGTAAGAACCCTTAATTGCATTTCAGTGTAAGGGAAACATTTATAATGAAAAAAAAAGGTTTTAACTTTGTCTATTTTTGGGGTAAAATGTCACTCGGAGGGGCTTTAACAAAATAAGTATTAATGATAAATATCTGGTTTCATTATCAGTGGCCTTGTTCACATGCACACCAAAATCTGATTATAATCCAATTTCTGAACCTTTAAGATTACTTAAATTAAATATCAACTATAATCAGAAAGAAATTTGATTATTTGTCTTTTTATATGTCATTTAAATGAGCTTTGAACTCCCAAAACACGTGTAGGGTTTATTGGGAATAATTGATACACAGACTTGGATTAAGTTTAGTTCTAAATTAAAACAGGACTACAGGGCTGAGACAGACAGTGGCCATGTGATCTAAATAATAGCTCTGGGCTCAGGTAGCATCGGGCTGTAAGAGCACTGCATCCCGTGTTTAAAGAGGAGGAGGAGACACCTTTCTAGTGTTTATGACCAGCAGCACAAGTCACAGGTCCAAATGGTTGTTGACTACAATAATATTTAACAGCTATAGTCATTTGGATTAAAAACATGTAAAAAAAAATGGGCACACATCTCAGACATGTATTTTGTTCTTGTCCTAGCTGAAAGCTGTTCAGAGGAGGCGGTCTCTGTCCTCTCGGTTGGAATAGAACTCAAAGTCTGGTCAGCAGTGATAGCCAGTATTTCCTGTTAAAAGACCACCCTTTTTTCAGGATGCTGAGAGAGTTAACCAATGAACTGATTGTAACACAATTTAACTAGTTAGAAAATGATGTCATGCAAACATCCAAATAATACAAACAATATTTACAGCATAAACAATTTCAATTCTCTTCTTTCTGTAGTAAAAGTAGGGCTGGGCAATTTGAAAATACATTTTTTTTTAAATTCAATTTTGAAAAGATTTTATTCAGTGATCATACTTAACCCAGGGAGAAAGGCATTCATTAGCAGAGCGTGGTTAATCTCATGCAATTTAATCCTTTAATTGTGAAGACTTTCAGTTATGGCAGTTTCACTGTAGAAAAAAACTTTATAGCTCTTGTTGCTCTTTTGGAGACTCCTGGTCAAAAAGAAGTTAAGATTGTCTCTGCTTGCAAGATGCAAGTCTCCATCAGGCTTAATTACATTGACAGGACAACTCCAGGCTCTGCGGGAGATGATCAACACAGGAAAGTCACAGAAGGCTTTATAGCCCAGAACTACTTGGTTTGTTGACCATGTCCTACTTAAAGTTCCATTACCATGTTAAAGGTGAAGAGGTGCTTCTCACAATTTCATAGGTAATACTACATCAGATTTTGAGTGCACATTTAAATAGTCAACTGAATACAATTTTAAATTTTTTTTTTTACTTTTTTGCAGCAAAACAAAGAAGCATAATTAGGACTAGAGCCCGACCGATATGGATTTTGCTGTGGCCGATATGAAACCGATATAATGGCGTTGGCTCTGCCGATAGCCGATATAATCGCCGATATATTTAGTGATGTAAAAATTCACTGTAAATGTTGAATTGTTTAAAAAACTTAGGTTTGGCTCTAGTGGATTTTAAATTGGGTTTATTTAGGCAACATTTATTGTTACTCTGCCTCTTTACATCATATTTACAAACAGTAGATTGGCTTAATGGCATTTTTGCATCACATTCTAGACACTAGTGATGGGTATTCCAGTTCTTTTTAGAGAACCGGCTCTTTTGGCTCTGTTCACTAAAAGCTGCTGGTTCTTTTGGCTCCCAAGCGGCTCTTCAGATTGTTTTGTTGCAAGCAGGTCTAAAGCACGTCTAAAGCAGGACTGAATCAGGACTGAACCAGGACTGAACCAGGTCTAAACCAGGACTGAAAAAGGACTAAACCAGGACTAAAACAGATCTAGACCACGTGTAAAACAGGACTAAACCAAAACTGAACCAGGACTGAGTGTCGGGACTCGGTCTCTATCTCGTGCCCAAGATTAATCCTGGTTTATTTATTTTATGCTAAACTACAGCCAAATATGCTCGTTTTTTTATCCTATGCACACGAAAATTTCTCAAAGTTTCGTTTTTAGCCGCTGCCGCTGTCAAACCACGAATCTGCACGCGGCGTGAAGAGAAAAAAAGTGAGAGAAAGAGAAAACACGGCTCCCAATAAGGATCAGGCTCCCGTTGTTCGCTTCAAAGAGTCGGCTCTAAGAGCCGTTTCGTTCGCGACCGACCCATAACTAGTAATGAAACTAGCGCTATTAGCCTTTAGCCGTAAATACGTGCGCGCCGCGGTAATTAATTATATGCGCAAATGTCATAATTCACACGTCTATTCACGACTCATTTACATATCAATGCAGGTCCAGTAACATATATACGGCCAATGTAGTCACTTTACAATAGACCAATAGAAAACAGCCTGTTTATGTGCGAGAGCTACAGCAGCTAACCCATAACAAATACACAGGCTCCTCCTCACATCACAAGCCTGCACTAATAAATGTCCTTTTAATCCAGACTCAAACCGATTGTCCGTAAAAAGAATATAATCTCAATGTTTGGATCTGTGTCTGCGAGTGTAAACAAACACACGTGAGTGACACGACTCTGTGGTGTGTTCAGGGACAGTATGGACACACACACAGACAAATGACTCCGTAGATAAATACTGATGTGGAGCCACATATTAGGACATTTATCCGTCTGTAAATTGGATTAAATGAACAGAATGTAGAGAGTCTAAGATTTTTAACGACATATCACATGCCCACGTGAAATATCGGCCCATATCAGCAAGCATATCGGCAGATAGCCGATATGCCTCCAGGTGCCCATATCGGCCAACTGATATATCGGTCGGGCTCTAATTAGGACATATCTGCTGAAGTGTGCAGTATGCTGTTGCATTTAGTATATTTACTTGAGTAACTTTTTGAAGAAATTATAATGTTCAGACACCAGACTTTTACTTCTGAATAAGTAATAATTTGTTTGAAGTAACTACAACTTGCACTCAAGTGCAAGTTGTAGTTACTCTTCCCACTGTGAGTCTTTTTGTAAGAAGTTTTATGTTAATAACATTAGTACCCAAGCCCGAATGGATAAGTTAAATAATTTGCAATTTGTATGTCTTTACTTTTTAACTCTGACTTGAGTAATTATTTGCGTCACTATTTACTTCTACTTTGGTAATATTATTTTTAAGTAACCTCTGCATTCTGCATATTAGCCAAAGGCCTTGAAAAGTGAACTGAACTCTCTATCACTAAAGTTTATGGCACAATCTGTTACAATAGTAAAACCTCTTCAACGGCACATCTAATGTGGCGCTAGATAAAACAGGCAGCATTATGTCTACAAGGATGTTGATGTCTAAAAGCCTCTTCTAACACTTGTGGGGTTTTATAGTCTGCAGTGTTGCAGGCCCTGGCTCCCAAAGCTTTCGATTTACCTGTCAATCTTCGTTTCTGCCCTCACCTATGGTCGTGAGCTTTGGGTAATGACTGAAAGGACAAGATCGCGGATACAAACGGTCGAAATGAGTTTCTTCTGGTACCTCGCTGAGGAGGTGTTCGAAGAATACCCAGGACAAGTTGTTATCATCTCTCTCGGCTGGCCTGGGAACGCCATGTGGTCCCACCGGAGGAGCTGGAGGAAGTGTCTGGGGTGAGGGAAGTCTGGGAATCCTTGCTTAGAGAAGCTATGTGAAGGGCAAATCCACTATTTGTATTGCTTTAACAGAAACATTCATAGCCTATGGAGCTTCATAATAGCCTTCTGAGAGCCTTTCTGTGGTCTGCCTTTCTAATCATCATTTTCGTGTTTTAGCTGGGGAAGTATCACGCAGCTATCCCAGGTCTACCCATATACAGTCACAGAACGGTCTTCGTAGGTTAAGGTGGGGGTGGGGATGCCTTGAGTGGTTTCCTTGATTGTAGTTGGGCGGTTATATGTTTTTTTTTATTTTTTATAATGCCTCCTACGGATTTCGCGCGATCACTATCACTCCGTAGCTAACTAGCTGAACCCTCTCTTAATACAAGTTGTTACCACATAGTGCATGAAATTATTTGGCTTACCTGACAACAAAACTCTTCCATCGCTGGCGTGGAATCACTTCTTCAGATCCAAAAGCAAGTTAAAGAGTACCCTACAATTAAAACAAACCACAACGGGACGATAACTTATCTCCAAATCAAGGTTGCACGTGGAAGTGAACAGCAGGCTCTGCAGAAGTGCGAAATGCGTAACTTTTCCCCATAGACCGTGACCATAGACCGTCTATGGGCGTGACTTGATACCCATAGACGGTCTATGGTCACGCCCATAGTCTGGACCAGTGTGTTCCAACCAGGGGTACGGGGACCCCTAGGGGTACGCGAGAACTTGCCACGGACGTACTTTTAATTTCAGATTTAAACGAAAGATGGAACTGAAAGGCATTGAATGGTATTCGAATGGAAAATAGTACATTTTAAATCTTCGAGAATTTTGCCATATTTTTTATTAAAACAACTTGTACTTGTAAGTGGATTTATTTCAAAAGAAACTCTGGTACTGGGGGTACTCGGACTGAGATGACACCGAGGGGGTACTCGAGACTAAAAAAGGTTGAGAACTAAAAGTCTAGACGACGCCTCTTTCTTCGTTCTTTCTTCTTTTTCGTATAAAATGTTAAAGTCAACCAGCTTAGGTTTAGCAGCCTGTGAGCATAAGAATAAAAGACATGTTTAAATGACAGACAGCAGGCGTCAGATTTTATGTTTTAATCAAATTGTTGTGGGTGAAGAATCCCTCAGTCGTCCAGGTAGAATCCATAGCGAGGAGAAAATTCAGTTTGTCAACTGAAGAAGCAGCTTGGATGAGCTGCAAAACGTCTTCAAACCAACTAACTTTTGTCCAGTCAACAAACTGATTTTTTTCTTTGACACAAATTGTTGTGACACTTTCAAGTTATTTCTGAATAAAAAATCACAGGTAAACTGTTACACATGCTCACACTTCTTTCTCTCCCTGTCAATCAAATGCACATACAGATTTCACAATGTCCTGAATACGTTGATGACAAAGACATATAAAGCCACTACAACTCAAAGAAATAAAAACACAACATGGTACACACTCAGACTGTCCTTATCTAAAAATGTAAAGGTGCATTGCACAACTTTTCTGGTGAAGGGTTTGCTACTTATCGGTACTTGTCTCCATGATGTTATTGCTTTGCCTTGAATATTCCATGGTAAAACATTAAACATATACAGTACATTTAGCATTTAATCATTATGGGTGTTTCTATTGTTCAAAACTATAATAATTCCTTCTGTGAATAGGTAGCTCCACAGATCTGAATTGTAATGTAGCGAAGTGCTGTGACCTGCTTGTCTCCCTCATGATAAATCTAATCTACTGTGGAACATTCTGGACAAAGCAAGACCTGTAACATTTCTAGAAGACGCTAATGTAAATGACACGGGATGCTCTGGTTTAAATTGTTAAACATATATTTGTGCTATTTTAAAACACAATAAGGAAAAAGATGTCATTCAAAACAATTCACATTAAAAGGTGACATCAATAATTCCATTCTTAAAGTTGTATTATGTAGCTTTTAGGGTTGGGAGTCCGTCACCTGCTTGTTTCTGTTGATATGTCATTACTCTGCCTGGAATGTTCCACATTATGACATTAAACAGCACTACCTTATATTTATTCAATTGTAAGTAGTTTTACAGCTCAAAAATACCTAGAAAAACAGGTATTATCACTGTGAGTGAGGATTGCCTTTCCACACAGCTGACCTGTAACTTGGTCTGGCTTTGTCTATATGAAGATAGAAAGTTTTAATACCATGCTATGAAACATTCCAGACAAAACAATGACATTTCCATGGAAAAACTATTTCACAGACCCTCCACCAGAAAAGTTACATAGTGCACCTTTAAACTCTTTTGATCCTTTTGTTTGTTCATTTGGTTTTCATCAGTATTCCAACCTTCACCCCACAACACAAATATATATTTTTTTAAATCCACATAACTCGTCATGGGCAGCCACATCTGCTTTCAGTTAGAACCCGTTTTCCGTAATCTTCTAATCTCCGTTGCAATTCTCGTTGGAGAATATGTTGCTGATGATGCGGTAAGGGTCAAAGCCAGGGGCTAAACGACTTTTGCCCCCAGTCATCTGATGCATGATGTAATCTGTAAACTGGATAAATACACAAACTGCATGTGAACTTAGGTATCCTTGGAGTGCGATAAAATAAATAGGTAAAACACAAACACATAAAAAGACTAAGGCCACAGGTAAGTATGTAAAAGAAGGACAGAGACGTGACTTAAAAATGTATAATTAAAATGTATTAAACACTAAAAGAGGAGGAAAGGTAAAATTATTTAATTTATTCTATAAAAAGGAAGCCAGGCGGATGGTTAAAATAATAAAATGGCCAAGATGTCCAAAATATGCTAAAATAAGGATAAAACTAGAGCCCAACCGATATGGATTTTGCTGTGGCCGATATGAAACCAATATAATGGAAGTTGGAGCTGCCGATAGCCGATATAATCACTGATATATTTAGTGATGTAAAAATTCACTGTAAATGTTGAATTGTTTAAAAAACTTAGGTTTGGCTCTGGTGGATTTTAAATTGGGTTTATTATTATTTTATTATTTATTATTTATTGTTATTCTGCCTCTTTACATCATATTTACAGACAGTAGGTTGACTTAATGGCATTTTTGCATCACATTCTAGACACTAGTGATGGGTATTCCAGTTCTTTTTAGAGAACTGGCTCTTTTGGCTCGGCTCACTAAAAGCTGCTGGTTCTTTTGGCTCCCAAGCGGCTCTTCAGATTGTTTTGTTGCAAGCACGTCTAAAGCAGGACTGAATCAGGACTGAACCAGGTCTAAACTAGGACTGAAAAAGGACTAAACCGGGACTTATTTATTTTATGCTAAACTACAGTCAAATATGCTCGTTTTTTATTTTTTTAATCCTATGTACACGCAAATTTCTCAAAGTTTCGTTTTTAGCCGCTGCCGCTGTCAAAATACGAATCACGCGGCGTGAAGAGAAAAAAAGTGAGAGAAAGAGAAAACACGGCTCCCAATAAGGATCAGGCTCCCGTCGTTCCCTTTAAAGAGCCGGTTCTAAGAGTCATTTCGTTCGCGACCGATCCATAACTAGTAAAGAAAGTAGCGCTATTAGCCTTTAGCAGTAAATACGTGCGCGCCGCGGTAATTAATTATATGCGCAAATGTCATAATTCACACGTCTATTCACTGCTCATTTACATATCAGTGCAGGTCCAGTAGCAAATATACAGCCAATATAGTAACTTTAGAACAGACCAATAGAAAACAGTCTGTTTATGTGCGGGAGCTACAGCAGCTAACCCATAACAAATTACAAAAACTAGCTTCAGAGTCGACATATTTCCAACACTCACCGCTCATACAGGCTCCTCCTCACATCACAAATCTGCACTAATAAATGTCCTTTTAATCCAGACTCAAACCGATTGTCCGTAAAAAGAATATCATCTCAGTGTTTGGATCTGTGTCTGCGAGTGTAAACAAACACACGTGAGTGACGCGACTCTGTGGTGTGTTCAGGGACAGTATGGACACACACAGACAAATGACTCCGTAGATAAATACTGATGTGGAGTCACATATTAGGACATTTATCTGTCTGTAAATTGGATTAAATGAACAGAATGTAGAGAGTCTAAGATTTATAACGAGTTATAACATGCCCACGTGAAATATCGGCCCCTATCAGCAAGCATATCGGCCGATATGCATAAAGTTGCCCATATCGGCCGATAATATCGGCCAACCGATATATCGGTCGGGCTCTAGATAAAACCTTGCAGCCCCTGGGCCGAGGAACCAAATCTGGGGAAAAAAAACTGAAATAAATGTTACAAATAAACCAAACAAGGACAACTTGAGAGGGGGTAGCCCCACCCAGAACAAAACAGAAAGTGCTACTGTTGAGGACAATAACTCTTTCCTCGCATGTTCGTTAGTTTCTGCTTAGACAAAAAATTACACTTGAAACAGAGAAAAAGTCCAGATAATTTACTTATTCCAAAGTCATACTTGTACAAGGAGTCTGTGCTGACATTTCCATGCAGAGACTGAATACTTACGTCTATACAATGATTTTTATACGCAAACTATGTGGTTTAGACTTAGTGCCTCTTTGTTGGTGCACAGGCCAGCCAGGCCTCTTGGCACATTGCTCAATCTTATCCGATTGTGACAAGGATCCCCCGGACTTATCTCACTCCTCTTAGCGTCTTGCTGGTTTGATCAGGGTGATGAGTCGTGAGTCAGCATAGCCCTATCAATAAGTCCTTGCCCTATTTGGTTAATTGATGAGACATATAGATAGAAATAGAATATCGTATATCCAAACCACTCCTTTAAAACGTGTCTTAGCTCTATGTCTTAGCTCTACGCAGATTAAAAAAGAAAACATTAAAACCAATTTAAAAAGAGCTAAAATAACAAAAAATTGAGCGCGGTTAAAACCTTACCTGACACCAGCCAGCAGAAGTCGGGACTGAACAATTGCCGCAAGGGCTATTTAACCCTCATGCTCTCCTCGGGGTCACATAGATCCGAATTTTTTTTTCCCCTTCCCGCTCTCTTGGGGCGGGTCAATTAGACCCAAAAATGTATTCGGGTCAATGTGACCCCGTCGGAGGCCCGACCTCCGCTGACACAGGAAGGTGGTGTCAGGTAAGTATTAAAAAAATAAAGTGCGCTCCCTGCTGTCCGCCACAATCACATGCTTAGAACTTCAGATTCTTGCCTCTTTCAGAAAAGCTATAATAAAGAAGATATATTATGCTTTTTGGGGAGGTATTTAGTATTAGTCTATAACATACATAAATCATTATTTTACATTTTGTCCATTGTAAACTTCCTGCTCTGTGGAGCTGCTGGGTCCTGCCTCTTCATAGTGGCATTTCTGATAAGACATTTCTAACCCCACATATGCCCCAGACTAAGAATTTTTTGAATAATCACATCTACAGAGCTGTGGGCCGGGATGGAGGGTAGATGAATATGGGAAGCAATCCAGCCTGGACAATGCAGGAATACTCTAACATGCATGGAACTAATGATGAGGGAACACTGTTAAAACATGTTTGAAAGTATATGATGTGGTGGTGTGAGGTATGACCTTGCTCACAAACACCTGGTATATATAGTACATATTAACTGTGTAATGTATAAATGGATATAGGTATGCTATTAAAAGCACTTCAGAAGATTCCACTTGTTCGTTTTCATACTTTTCCATCTTGGAGAAGAGATGCGGTAAAACCTCATCATTCCAGATGAGCATGGAACCTTGGGCAGTGCCTCCTCCTACTCCACCAGCTCAATGCCAAACACCAGTACCACACTGCCAGGCACTTTGTTTGCTGGGAACAGTACAACATAGATAGCATTATATTACTACCAATTACCATGCATTGGTCGAGAGGTAAGAAACACAGGGAATGATAAATACTTTTAGTCAGTTCATGTGTGCATGGACACAAATTTTTTCACCATTACATTAACAGTGCACTGCTGCATTCTGCATTTGCACAAAAGCTATAATTAAGACAGACAGAGACAAAAATCTTCCAAGACAATAATAGCATGCATTCTGATTTTTATATACAAGTAGTTTTTGGATACTGTTAGAGGAGAAGAGAATCACTAATGTTATTGGGTCAAACTGCATGTGATACTGTTATGACGTTTTAGCTTCAAACAACAATTTGACCACCATTTTTGGTAAAATAAACTGTAAATTCTTTGTGTTGTGACAACACAATCCCGATCTCTATAGCTGATCAGTTTAAACCAGTCATAGCATTGTATAAAGGAATCCTATCAATGTGTGCACCATGCAAAAGAAGCAAACAAGCTAACCACAAATACAGGAAAAGGAAGTGCACATGCATTGCTTCACTTCAACAGAACATACACAGCAACTGCACAACTTACGTAGAGTCAATAGGTGAACTGGCATTGTAGTGATATTTATATGATATTTAACAAAATCTCCTTTCTTGGTTTCCCTATCTCACCCTTCTGCCTTGTATGTGACAGTGACATCAGTGCTGTCAGAAGGGTTGTAGAAGTCAGTGATATGAATGTTAAAGACCAGTACTGCAGAACCAAAAGCACAAATAATACAAATGAATGACATGCACCCTAAGCCATAACACAAGTAGGATACTGAAATATTTCTTTAGACAGGTCACAACAGAGATGTATTATGATAATATGAACTTTAGATGTGTTCAGGTTATATAAACTGAAAAAATATCATATATCATCACATTCTTTTGCCTAAGGCAAAATTTGGCATGTTAACTCTATGCAAGGCCACATTTGCGAATATAGAGCTGACAAGATGCAGGCTGAGATAAAGACTAGAAGGCAATATATAAACAACCAAAAAGAGAGTGAAAAGTGAGGCCTAGTTAATAATGAAATTGTACAAACATTGTGGGCAGATTTATAATATAGGAAATTATTATATGAGAAATTGTAAGCACATCAGGTATTAGAATGGATTATACAGTCATGATTAAAAAAATAAAAATTAAAAATAGAGGCTCCAATGAGAAAATGGAAATATATTATGGGATGGAGACAGCACAGGCGTGAATGTGAGTCATAAACAAGGACAAAGATTACAAAATTTATAAATCATTCCTATAGGATTTCATTTGAGTCTCATTAGATTTTAGCTTGTGCATATGTATGCATTTTATGTACCTGTATGTAAGGAGAAATTCAATTTGTCAACTGGACAAAAGTTTTTTTGATTGAATACGTCATCCAAGTTCTGGTCAGATTGCTGACACAGAATAATAATATAAAATAATATTTAGTAGGCTATTGTTGGAGCCTTATTACATGTCTGTACCTCCTGCCACTGTGAGGCGCTATTTGTAATTTATGCAAGTACCTGCCCTATAAAAGGGGAGGAAATTGTGCGCCGTGAAGGTATACAGTCTTTTGACCGTCGTAATCGTTGTGATCTATTGAGTGCTGAATCTGTGTATTGTTGGGTGGCTAGAAGGTACGCCAATAAACTAATTGAGGAACACGGTATTTGGACTCTTTTTATGGAAGACACGCGTCCGAGACACCACACACGCTGCAGCCATAGCGGACCTTGCACAGGGCAAGTTTTGGCCGCTACAGCTATAGTTCTCATATAGGGTAATTTTGGTCAGAACCAGTGCCTGAGGAAATTCTCTCAAATTCACAGTCAGCTCCTCTCTTCTCTACTCTGCTCCTCGCTCTACACTGCTCCTCTCTCATCCCTCCTCCCTGTGTCTCCTTTGTGGATGGGACTTCCTCATCCATTTTGAGGAGAGGAATCAAGGAGAAGGAAATGAGGAAAGAGAAATGAGACACGGCCAGGGTCAGTAGGAGCCCGAAGTGCCCACATGCTAACTTCCTATTGTTTTTAGATTATGGCCAGGTCTCATTTCTCTTTCCTCACTTCTTTCTCCTTCCATTTCCTGCGGAACAGAGGAGAGGATTCAAGGAGAAGAAAGCGAGGAAAGAGAAATTAAATGTGTACATGGTCTATGACATAAAAGTAAGGCACCTATCTGTGCACATGCTCTGTACTCTTGAACCTGGTGCCTATACATGGATCTACTGGATGGATCCTATATTGTAATTAGGTGCTGGCTGCGTCCCACTTCCTGTCAGGCTCATTCTCACCCATTTGGTCAACAGATGTAGACATAAGCTGGCTGTGGTTATATGTATATATAATCAGACTTTTTGACCTAAAATATTATAATGAAATGTAAACCGCAAAATCAAATTTAAAGGCCCATATTATCCTATTTTCCGATCTATGTTATAATGTTGTTTCCTCATCTCACATACCTGGAGTTGTTTTGTTTCATTCACATATGTTTAATACACAAACCCTGCATATTTATAGTTCTCTTAATCTGAAAACACCTTGTGATGTCATGTGATAATACAGGACATGCTCCACTGTGTTTTTAAACTTCATACACTTTCACTAGAATCATTTAGATGATTTAAATCCTGGAATTGTCAATCTCTATTGAACAAAAGGTAAAAGGTAGCTGTTAACTTGAAAACTGCCACTACATGACATCACATTAAATAAACATCATGAACACAAATTGTTACAAAAACGTGACACTGACAATGTGCTTTCGACCAATCACAGCGCGTTATTGTGCTGACGTAACGCAGTCCGGTAGGGCTTTTGGCTGCAGCAGCTTTGGGAGTTGTCTGGCAAATGTTTATTGGGGTCTATGATAAGAGCCCATCCCGTGCTATACACCACATTATATCAGCATGCGAAGGCTGTTCTAGTCAGTGCGCAACACAACTCAACCATCAAATTTATTGAAAAGCTATTGGAGAGCAAAGGGTAAGTAGCTAGGGCTAGGCTACCTTAAATGACCCGCAAACGTGTTTTGTTTATTCTATTAATACGATTGGTAATAACCCTGAAGATATTTTTGTCGCCTTGGTTGCAGGTGTTTCAGCTCGTAAGCCATCGTTTCTTTTTCACACACTATCCTGCAAGTGCATTCCATGGTGTCAATCACATGATTAAAGTTTGTGTCAATGTGTAGTTGTAGTGTTTAGACAAGTGTGAATGTTTACATCGAGAGTTATTTATTCATTCTAATTAAAACTGTAAATACACATTTTATTTAGGTTACTACTACTGAAAGGATTGTTTTATTTGTCTTTCTCTATTATCTCAGGAAAATGGCTGGGTGGCTACCTATGATTGGAATGACCGCTCTCCCACACTTGGGAGGATTCTATGGGGGCTACGTTACACGCAAAGAAGTGAAAACCTGGTACCCAACATTGACAAAACCCTCATGGAGGCCACCAAATGCTGCATTTCCAGTAGTATGGACCTGTTTGTACACTGGCATGGGGTATGTCCCAGGACCTTTGAGTATGCTATGTTAATTTTATCCTTGGTTAATTTACTATGTCCTTTGTTGCAGGTATGGCTCCTACCTAATTTGGAAAGAACTTGGTGGATTTACTGAAGAAGCACTGGTTCCACTGAGCCTGTATGGTCTTCAGCTGGCACTGAATTGGGCCTGGACGCCTATCTTTTTTGGTGCTCACAAGCTTAAATGGGTAGGACTACATTTACAAATCATTATTTCTAATTTAGAACATACTGTACTTACATTCTATTTTGATGTTAATTACATCTCATATGTTAGGCTCTTATGGAGATTGTGCTGCTCACTGGCACTGTGGGAGCCACTATGTGGTCATGGTATCCCATAAACAAAACTGCCACTCTGCTCCTGGCTCCCTATCTGTCTTGGCTGTGTCTCGCCACCTCCCTCAACTACTGCATCTGGAGAGACAATCCCGAGGAAGGAAAAAAGGAAGAATAAGGGATGTTTTTTTTTTTTGTAGTCATTTTATCATTGTAGATGACTTTTTGTATTGTACACTAAATAATTTTATAAGAAAAATAGTTTCACAATGTGTGTTATGTAAATTGACAAAAAGTACATTTGTGTGCCGATCTGTGTGTCAGATTCCATATAACGGCTTATATACATTGTGAAAATGAAAATGCATACAAGTTCATAATAAAGTGCCTACTATATTACACCTTATCCACAATTGCAAAACTCATTGACTCGGAAAAATATAGTATACAGACATGTTTACATTTTTCTGTTTGTGAAATCTGAAAATAAGTAGTATGCAATTATTAGGAATACTAAAATCTGAATATATGTAGCAGCACTATGAAATAAACACTAATATATGCGCTACATAGTGAATAAGGGACTAATTTCATCAGTTAAGGGTCAAAGCCGTAAAAGTAGAATAAAGATCCATGGTCAAAGATAGCAAGGGCACAGTGAAGGTTAGCCCCAGTTTAGCCCGTTTTGTTTTAAATCCACAACCTGACTACTCTCGCCCTCTTAAAAAGTTGCTACTACTCTACTTAAAAACATTCATTCAAACATTTTTTTTCTCTAATAAATCTAATAATCTCTGACTACATCTTACACAACTGACACGAATGAAAAGAAAACAAGTTTTGAGCTTTGGTGACCACCGTACTTGTGCAACCTTTAAATCGTTCCTCTTGCAGACTTTTTTTTTCTTAAGGTTGCTTTAGCCAGTAACCTCTCACGTTCACATATCGGCAAAAGCATGAGCGGACCTACTGTCAAAAAGGGTTCGTCTGGGCCTTCTGGAGTGATTCAGTGGGTCACCTCCGCGTGTCGGTTTGCTACGGACAGAAACGACTTTAGAAGGTAAAATATTCAGACATATAAAGGTAAAAAAAAAAAAAAAAAAAGATGTTAGCATTTTGCTAACTGGTGGCATGCTGTGGTGTTTGCCCTTGCATTGACTACTCACTTAAACGCTTCATCGTACTTAAGAATTTTATGAAAGTAGATCTACATTGTGAAATTTTAAAACTGTAATTAATTCTGTTAGTATGGTCTTATTGTGTTTCTTCACTTTGTAGCGTTAATTATCTTGTAATTACGAATGAAATACATAATCTTGTATATCAAATGAAGTATATCCAATGATTAATTATGATTGTACATTAAAGGAATCACCATTTTTGTATCTTTCAGGAATCTCTTGGTGAATCTCGGGTTGTTTGCTGCTGGTGTTTGGGTGGCTAGAAATCTCTCAGATTTTGATTTAATGTCTCCTCAGCCTGTGACATAACCTTCACAACAACACATAGAGGTAAATCTCCATGGTTATTTGCTAATGAAGTAATATTAATTCTATATTATGTGCCTCATTAATTGTCTTGTTTTCTTTGTATAGTTCAAGAGTGACAAGAGGGGGTGCACATACCTCTGGTTGGCAAACAGCAAAAACCTGCAGACAGCAAAAACTTTTCTTCTTAGTTAAAGATCTTGGCATTTGTATGCTCTAGGTTTGTGTTGTTTTTGTTGTCTTTGTTTTTTTTTACTTTGAGAAGCGTTATGGCAAACTAAGTGAATCTTTTTATGTTAAACATGTAGAGATGTTGATGTAATGATAGCCACACAGGAATTTATAGTTTCTGCAACACAAAACTATTTATCCGCAAGAAAAAAATCTCTATCCATTTCGAGAAGTTTAGACCTGTTTACTCAGGTGTTGGCTGTAGATTTAGGATTAAAACCTGCTCTCCTTTATGATGCTAACAGTGCCAGTTCAGAGCAGGTGCAGCAGTACTTAAACTTCCTGCAGTCTTCACAGATGGTGTCAAAATCACTGTTCACATTAGATTTAAATGGCAACACCCTGATAGTGAACCAAGACTTTTCTTTATTACACTTGAATGAAATATTAAGTTGCGGCAGTGTGGTGGTAGTTAATGTGTCTCACTTGCTAAAAGCACCTGTTTTATTTGACCCATCTAGAGGAGAGTTAATGAATGTGGTACAAAAACTACAGGTCCTAATTCAAGGATATAAGCAACATGATGCACCCAAACCTCTATATGTTGGAGAGCATTGTGAAGACTGGAATCTCTGTACAGTCTTCGGTGCATTACTGGGTTATCCAGTTACTTACTGGTTCGATCAGAGCAAGAGCTTCGAGAACTGTCTATCTATGACCCCTTTAATGGTTACTACAGCTTCAGCAATGCGGCAAACAGATAATGCCAGTCACAGCTGTTGTCTGTTCTCCTTCAGTGTCCCAGTGGATTTGTTTCAAAGGTCACAGTCTATCCTCAAGCGCTGGAACAATAGACTTCAAGAGCGTTTTGAAAAGCAACATGTGCTTACAGATCTCACTATTTGTCAAACAACAGTGACAATGGCATCAGTTTGTCTTTGAGTATATAAATTGTACAATGTATTGCCATCATTGATCATTAAATGGGATCCAGTGTTAAAACTTTTATTTGCACCTGTGTTCAATACAGTTTGAGAATGTTATGGATATTTTATTTTATAACTTCCACATGGGAAAAATGCTTTTTAAATATATAAAATATATTTTATTTGCATGAAAATATTTATTTCCAGGTGACTGAACCTTTATGGTATTACTGTACTTTTAAACGTCTCTACCAAAAGTTCCATTGCTTACCTGATCTATACACATTTTAAAATGCATAATTTTGCATGTACTCCAGTAGGATAAGAAATACAGTTGCTAATCAGTAAATAAATATGATGTAGTTCAAGTCCACTGTGATCATAAAGGTTGAATTAGAGATAGCACTTCTCCACAACGACCACTGACTTTGATCTGAGCCAAGTGGTCAGCTCTTGTTGATCCAATGTTGATAATAGCAACAGGGATTTTTCTGTCATTTGCTGCCAGTAAAAATCTGTAACCTGAGTAAACCTAAAACAAAAAAATAATGTTAGTGCATGTACAAACTCTTCAGGAATACAATGCCAGTTTAAAATAAAGTCACCACCTGGAAAATTGTGCTTCCCTTGCCGTTCGGTTTAAATGATAAAAAATTGAGATTATCTGCATGATGAGCAATCTTATATTTCCCAAGAATTATATCTAAAAACAACCTGAATATACTGAATGACCAGATTATTATTATATATTACTGATTTCTTTGATTTACTTCTTACCCATTTGCTTACATTCAGATGGTGACTTTTTTTTTTTATCCAAACAATATAATACAAGCTTTATATATACATACCTGTAAGGAAGATCCAACAACAAGGACAGCATCTGAATCCACAAGTTTTTCATGGACAAACTGCACTTTTGTTTTGCTCACAGTGTCACCAAAAAATGTAACATCAGGCTTGAGTACACCTCTGCAATGCTCGCAGGAGGGGACTCTGAAATGCAGAACCTGATCATCCTCTAAAAACACATCTCCATCTGGTGCCACTGCTCCTGCATGTGCTGTCCAGTCTGGATTAAGAGCTTCAAAACGCCTTTGAAGATCTTCCCGGGCAGAAATGTCACCGCAACCAAGACATATCACTCTACAAAGATGGGCAGACTTTAAGTTAACCTAACGTTGCACACTTTGTCACAATTAATATTTTAATATTCACAAAATGAATTTGTGCAACCAATCTGAGCTGAGTAATATTGACATATAACTTGCTGTTCTAAATAAATGTTAAAACCATTGTGGTGGCAGTGGTTCAGTAATAAGAGCGTTCACCTACAAACTCTAATGTTATTATTCTAGTTCACATCAGCACATACTTTCCTTGGCAAAGACACTTAAACCCACCTTGCCTAATTACATATGAATGTGGTGTATGAGTGATTTTTGGTGGTTAGAGAGGCTGTGTGCGCAGATTGGCAGTCTAATAAGCCCTAGGGTAGTTGTGGCTTGGCGTCACTGAATGTGATTGATTATTTTGGGAATCTTCTTGAAAGTGCTATAAATTCATAACTTGTTTTTATACCATACAGAAATATACCTGTGAGTAGATCCATGCAGCTCTGTGAGCCTCTTTTGTCCCGCCTTTGAATGAAGAGCATCTACATTTTGTGTGACCAGCCAGTGCAGTTTGCCTCTTTGCTCCCACTGCTGCAGCACTGTGTGTGCAGTATTGGGCTGATGTGAGGAGAACTGGGGCCACCCAACAAAGTTTCTAGCCCAGTATCTTTGACGGGACTTAGCACTGCGTATAAACTCTATATGCTCCATAGGGCGTCTGCTGGTGCGTGCGTACAGTCCCACTTTCTCAGAGCGGTAGTCAGGAATCCCAGACTCTGTGGACAGTCCTGCACCAGTCATGACAAACAGGCGTCTGGCCCGGGACACAAACGCCTGCAGTTGTTCCACAGACTGAACATCTGTGGTATTGCAGGAAGGGACAAAGTTCAACACACCTGAGAATGTTCTGTTTCTAGATGGTATGTACAGGGTCTGGGTCCGTAACAGCAATCTCATCTACAAAAAGAAAAAAACATGTGAGTTATGCACATTTACATAATTATTTATATAATCATGAAATGTACATTTATTAAGACACAGCTATAGTAACTTAATAAACCAAAGATCAGTCACTTTTTTGACAGCTACTTTATACATTATATATGTGAGTAGGTCACCTACAATAAGCCTTATATATATATATTTTATATTTATTTATATAGCCACAAAGCTATAATTTCTTTAAAATGTATATCCTTAATTGCACCCCTGGCATTGAGTTCTTTTTTATTGCTCCCTGTATCAGTTGCAAATTGATTAATAGTAAATATTTGGAGGGGGAAAGCCTTTTAGAATGAATATGGCAAAATAAATATTTCATTTGTTCAACTTCTACAAACCGTGGAAACCTATCAGTAACAAAGTGACTTCGCTTTTCTACCTTTTTTATAAAGAGAAAATCAAACAATCACCAATCAACAAAGCTCAAGAAACGAAACGTACTTACCGTCTGCAACGGTTCATCAAGCTATTCTCGTTGTCCCCGTTATCAGTCAAGCAGCACAGTTAAGAAACAAAATGTGTTTGCAGCAGAGTTGAATAACACGGTTGTTAACCCAGGAACGTCCATTTGGTAGCGCCACCACTACCGGAAATACCAAATTTGATGATGCACCAGGTCGCAGTGCATACTATTTTTTATTATTATTATTTTATTATTATTTTAATAGATCCATGGTGCATACAGGTATTTGTAGTAATTTATCATTTATTATTCTATTCTTAAAATATATGTTTACAACATGGTCAAAAATAGCTTTGACTGGCACATTTTAACTCCTGAGAAGCAAAATATGAATGAATGACAACAAAAACAGTGCTGCTTTGGATAACTTTATTGGTTATTCATTTGCTGCTTTTGAAATGACCCAAATTTTTCAACAAATTCTCTTCAGCGTTGTCTTTAAAAGATGCTGCATATGTCCTTACTACATAACTCCAGAAGATCTGTCATGAGATTAAATCAAAATAATAACTTATACTTTTGTTTCCATTATATTATTGCTAGTAACTGACCTGCATGTGTGCAGTTGAAGACAGTTTCTGCACGTTGGTAAAACTCTTCTCCAAGAATTGAACGAAAGTCTTTGTGGCTTGTGTGGACAAAGCACTTAGTGGCATCTTTAAACAACAAATCACTCTCTGCATACTGATGTGACTCAAACAGCTTAAACTCAGAATCAGGATTAGCTGCAAGAGCTTCCTAAAAAATAATGTTACAATGGACAGATTTTCAATCTTTGCTCATTGAGTCATATTGATTTTTATAATGTGATAAATAGCAGACACATATTTTTACTGATAATTGGATGTAGACCTCTTGATTAAAAGCAAGTTGACCATTGATAATTTGAAATGACTGAATCTTGATTTAAATGTGATTAATTGCACTACTCTACCTGAGACTTCATGAGGAAGTCGTAAACTCGAGCAGTGAGCACTGGTCTGGTCATTACAGTGTTTGGAGGAATGACACCCAGGTTACAGGTTTCCCACTCTGACAGAGGGGCCCGGTGACCTTCGGCACACAACAGCTCAAAGTCTGCAGAAGTCCATCCCTGAGCCCAGCCACTGGAGCTTAAACCTACAGACCAAAGAATAATAATTTACTTAACTTAATATACACCTCTGTATATTAATAATATATTAAATGACTGAGTCTATTACTTAGAATATTGGCTTGGAGATTGTGCTGTTCCAGAAAAGCTACTTCGCCATAGCTTTTTCCAGTGGGATCACCAACCAGGCACCTACAAAATAAGATATGCAAAGTGATTATGTCTTTCTCTTCATAAATGGTAACTTTTAGAAAGTGCTAACTAACTAAGACCATAGCACGGACCTTAAAGCGCCCATATTCCCATAATAACGTTCGTTGTGGTTGTGAGCACAGCGTTTGGAGGGAGCATCTTCAGTGCCTCCCATACACACTTTACACAAGTTACCCTCAGAGCCAGGCAGGCATCCTTTCCAAAACACCTCATTGTACACTATAGAATCAGGGCCACATGTATTCAGATTACATGACAGGTTTTAAAATGCTCTAAAATGATTTTAACTATTTTTTACAACAATACAGTTTCTGCACCTTTTATATTTTATTGGATAATTTTGCTAAATTTACTTTTTCTCAATGGTATTTGTTTTTCTAATGTTGCACATTTTCAAAATAACTCTTCTGTTATTACTATCTTGTTGACATTATACATTACACGTCTAACTGAGAAACTGAACCTTGGTCTGGATTGCAGGGGGAGGTGTTGTTGTGCTCCAGACTCAGGGGGTATCTATAAGGCAGAAGCCATCCTGCTGGGCTGTACATGTAACTGTGGCAGGAGCGTCGGCTACCCAGGTTCCCAATGAAGATGCTCCTGCTGACTCTTTTAGCTACTGCTATGCCCATGACTGATGGTAGGACTGTAAAAGAAAGAGGGTAATTAAAGAATGTAGATATCAAGAATCTTTCATAATTATATTTCACCGTCAGTCTCCAAATGTGTTGATCCTTCAGTTGCAGACAAACATTTTACACCTGGAAAAAATGTTAACAATAACAATAACACATATATTATTTATATATATATATATATATATATATATATATATATATATATATATATATATATATATATATATATATAAAAAGAGCTTACCATAATACTCTGTGACTACAGGGACAAGGCCACATTTTCCTGCGATAAATGTGTGAGTGGCATCCAGTGAGGCTGCATCCACCTCATCTCTCTGGAACACCAAATTAAGTTTTGAAGTACATTATATTAAGTATATACTAAAACAATCTACTATATAGTATTTACCTTAATCTTTTCTACACAGTCTCCCATTGAGGCTGCTCGGACACACACCAGAGGGTCTGACTTGATACTTAGAGCCCATTGCTCACATTTCTTCTGTTCTGCTTGACTGATACAGCACCATCGAATCACACTGTCCTCAAGAGAGCTCCCTACACATACACACATACCCACACACAATTGATTAGGCCTAACATTGACCACAGAGCTGCTCTGTATGTCCCTGTTCACATCCACATACCAATGAGAGTAAGCACCTTCATGTCCAAGTCCTTTGAGAAGAGCCACATAGTCCAGCCCCAGCACCTGGCTGATGTCCTCGTCCTCCATCAGAACAGCAAGTTTATCTGTGACATCTTTAAACAGAAGATCACTTTCTCCAAAAGCAGAGGAGTTAAAAAGTTGGAACCGAAGCCTCTCTTTTCCCTTTGGCCCAAACAGCACCTGTAGTCTCAGATAAGAGGATTAATTAGTAAATTGGTCTGGAATATACAACTCTACATGATGTATGAATTTGTAAAGGTGCACTATGTAACTTTTTGCTTATCTCATAACTTGCTTTGCCTGGAATGTACCACAGTGTAGCATTAAATGCTTGTCTTACCCAAGGACACGACAGCATTCATCTATGGGAGCTGGAATTGCACCTCCAAACTGTGGGCAAGTAGATCTAACTGCTCAATCAAATACCAGTATGTTTTTTTAATGTTGCATGTTTTTCCAATATATATTTTTTATAAAAACATCAGTAACTGAACAAATGCAAATGCACAATAAATATGTTTCTAAGAATATCATACAGTGGATTATTACAGGCAAAGCTATATCATCTTCAGTCCCCCTTACCAAAAAAAAGCTACAATGTGCACCTTAAATGACATTTATTATGGAAGATTATGGAAAATTGACAAAAATATTTTTGAATTATGTGTAAAATTTACTTGACTTATGTGTAAAAATTTCCGAGCAATCTTGCGGAGGTTGAAGCGCGTCACCAATGCCCCGCCCGGACCTCTGCCCAGGTTACAGGACCTGTACAGGCTCAGAGGAGCCTGGCTCCCATCTGTGCACAGTAGTCTGAACTCATCCCACTCACTCTCTAATAAAAATACAAATATACATATAAAAGAACAATGTGTACTAGCAATTATATTTTGCATTAATAACAGATGTACTGTAAATGTAAAATACCTTTTCAAATTCCAACAATTCACATCAACAAAGCCAAAGGACAGATGATGCCTGTTACAACTGGTTTCACATTAAATAAGAAATAGCATTTCATATCTAATTACCTTCAATACTTTGCAAGGCTAAATGGTCGATGAATGCAATGTCTCCTGCTCCACTTCTGAGACATCTACAGAAAAAAAAGATGTCTGAAATGTAAATAAACAGGAAATATTATTGAGTTTGTTGACAGACCTGAGAGCACCCTGACTGTTGTAAAAAGGCTCACTGTGGGATGTTTCACAATGATAATTCTTGTGTCGAATGTAGGACTTTTGGCCCTGGCACAATGCGCAAAGAGAGGGCGCCATGGCAGCCGCTCCAGGAACACAGCTGGAGTTGAAAAATGCACTGACATCTACATAAATTACAGAAATAAAAGCAGAATGGGAAAAATACACTCCTTATTTCCTAATATTTTTTGTTATTCTAAAATGCATTCAAGCTTTTGTATATTTATTATGGACATACTATTTGCCATAATAAGATTTTATATACCAATTGGAATAAAAAAAATTGAAATACAATAAAACTGTATTAAATCCACTTTCATTTAGTCACTGTGATCATTGATCATGTGATCCTCATTTCCCAAAAAAGGTTTCAAAGGTAGTAATTTGAACAATGTTTTTGAAATCAAGACATTTTGGCAGCCATCCAGAAGCATGGTGTACTGCTGTAAACCTTGACTGAGTGGCTGCTCCTTAGACCAGCTGAGGTAGTTGCGGGACAGGAGGAAGCCTAGAGGAAGGCTCCAGCCTGCGGTCCACCGAACCCCACTGTGACAGCTCCGGAGTCCCTCCAATGAACGGATGTCCAGTGTGCTGTTCCTCACCACAGCTACAGACAAGATGCACCCTCCTGACAGAGAAGGTGACCAAATGCTAGAAACCTGTTTTCATCATGACACACCTGAGACACCAACTGAAAGACAGGACATCTTACCATCGTTGTATATTTCTTTTGCCACAGCCACAAGGCCAAATTGCTTCACAGCGGAGTAAACTTCACCCGCATCTAGGGACACTATGTCTGCACGGTTAGCCTGCAATAAAAAAAAATTCAAGGTTCAAAGCATCTTTATAAAGCCTGTGGGGCAATTTCTTTGTTGCAGCACTAATGCATACCAGGTAAACACAGACAACAGGTGCAAATAACTCAAATATCTCACTAGCTCTCACACAGCTGCTCAGTGTCATCATAACTATCCAATGCACCAACATTATCAATATACATAATTTGTGACTAAAACAACCAAAATTGGCTGCATTATTTCTGCTGCATTTAAAACAGAATAAAACCTTAGAAAACCTTAACATATTCCATTTGCTCACACACACACACACACACACGCAGAGGCACATGCACACATGCACATGTTGGCTGTACACATGCTTCTTGGGGCCACTGCATTGACTTACATTCATTTCCTGATGACTTTATGCATAGTTGCCTAACCTTAACCCGAATCTATTTTAACCCATATTTGAACTTTAAATCATGTTCTTGACGTAACAGGATATAAGTCATGGTGACTTGATTTTGTCCTCACAAGAGAAGCTGGCCCCCTAATGTGAGTGTATATACAAATTATAGTCCCCACAATCTAATAAATACCCACACATAGCAGTTAGTAGTAAATTCTCCTCACCCGGATCCTCTCTATGCAGTCAGTTGTGCTGGAGGCGAGGATACAGGAGAGTCGGGCAAATGCTGCCACATCTGCTGGTGGTAACACGGCAACCAGGGCTTTAGCCAACTCGGCACACTTCCTCTGCTCGGGCTCTGAAACTGTGCACCAACGCATCTTCTTCGCTGAAACAAAAAGTCAGAACAATTCTTGAGTTTTTACAATCTTTACAGATGTCTCTTCTGATTACCTGCATACACATTATTAAGGCAACCTGAACACCAAAACTACAGGTCTAAAGCGGGATATACCTTGAAAATGCCCCATTATTTACCCACTTTACTTCTATATAACTGTGGTGGGTTAGTAGTGGCCAGAAGGGTTGTAGATGCAGATTGGCAGCCATGGTTCTGTCAGTGTAACCCTGGGGCAGATATGGCTATCCATTATAGGAAGTAAATCAATGAAATTGTAAAGCAACTTTAATTATCTGGTAGAATACTAAACAAGACTGCATTAGTGCTGTTGCAATAACATACTCAAACAAATCCATTATGTTTTTATCGTTTAGTACTGCATTACAAAATGTGTAAAAATAAAAAACAAACCATTACAACATCAAATAACTTAAAATCAACAACACTTACCACAGATGTGTGAAAGAAAAATTATCAAAAGCAAAACAGGATAGAGTCCTTGCATTGCTGCAGCTCACAGCACTCTTCAACATAGACTTCACAGATTGGGGCTACAAAAGGCACTCAAAGAAAATTGAGACACTCTTGCGTAAGTAACTTTTTACACACATATGGAAAGTATTTAAAGGCAGCTGCCACAAGGACTGCCCACATTTGCAGTTTTACTCAATTTACATAACAGAATCACTACAGAATTAAGGGATATGTCTTCTTATTGTTAAAAAACATTATTACAAGTAGAAACATTGTCAAAGTCCATTAAAAGTCTATAACAAATCATTTCGATTTGGTAGTGAAGGGGGCCTGAAATGTGACCTGCAGAAGCTGAATCTGTCCAACATGTTGCAGTATTGTGGGCTTCTGTTTGGACAGTTTTGTGCTAAGCTGGTCAATTCTGTTCTTCAGCTGTGAAAATAGGTTGAGAAAAGTGAATAAGTGAATAATAACAATTGCTATAAACAAACAGTGCTATAAACAAACAAATGTATTATTGCACCAGAAATAAAGACCTCAAGTGTAAGCTACTTTCATTGATATATGAAAGATAGCCTTCATTTATATAAATTAAATATAGTAAATATTTATAAAATGTTCAAGGTGTTTTTATATACAAATATAAATACATCTAATTTAATAAATGCAAGATAGATATGCTTAATGGCCTACTGTGGAACATTCCATGCATTTCAATTAACACAGTCATGCAACAAAACCAATCATTATATAAATATAATGAAATATATAAACATAATATCATAAATATAATATAAATGTTATGGTAAATAAATAAATGACCTCTTCTAATTCTTGACAAACAGAATCTTTTTCAGTGCGGTTGTCCTGTCCACTGGTCTGGAGCCATGTTTGAAGCACATCTCTTAACTTGCACCATGCCCTAAACACACAACAATAGTCATATTTATTATTATTCTGTATATTTTGTTTATTTTAACATTGAGCTCTGTATTAAACACACATACCGTAGCTGCTTTTTGTCCTGTTGGTAACTGGTCATGTCTTGTTTAATTAGAAACAGTTCATTTGTTAGATCTGCCATGGGATCAACGACTGCGAGATAAACAAGTGTATTCAGATGTAGGCAAAACAAAAACACTTAGTATTATTATATCATGTTGTATGCTGGTGGGGAAAATATATATTGTGCTTATGCAGTGAGTTAATACTGTTTTCAACTATTACTATATTACTATATTTCTATATTTTTATTTTTACTTGTACATATACATTTATATAATTATCCCTTATTTGACACCAACTTCTTATTTATTAGAATTTATTATTACCATTTGTTATTATAGTATATTGTGATGTGTGAGCTACTGTGTCCAAATAATTTCCCTTGTGGATCAATAAAGTCTAAGTCAAACAGCGGTGGAAGGCAGCAAAGTAAAAGTACAATACTTAAGTACAAATTTTAGGTATCTGTACTTTACTTGAATACATTTTACAGTGGTTACTTTTTACTTTTACTTCACTACATTTGAGAACGTGTATCTGCACTTTCTTCGCCACTACAGTTTAGAGTTGGACATAAAAGTAAAAAGTACTTTTCTTTACTCTGTGAGACCTGTTGAAAAGGCTGAGACATTTAATTTTCAGTCCCAACTTTGAGCAAACTAAATACATAAAAACACTAAAGACAGATAAGCTTAATGAAATACTGTGGAACATTCAGGCAAAGTCACAACTTCATAATCTCCATGCTGACAAGAACCAGACCAGAAAAGTGACATAGTACACTTGCAAGCTTGACTACTGCATGTAAAAACATATTTACCAATATCACCTCTGGAATTCTCTGTAGCATTTGAAACAGGAAGCAAGAGTTCACTGGATTGTTCAAGAGGAGGATCTTCAGGAGTGATCTAAAAGTAAAATAATTCATTAATTAAACAGGTAGTTATGTCTTCAAGCTAAGTTAAACGGATGAGCATACAGTTGTCATGAATGCTGAAGGAGGTAGAAGGATCTCATGGTTTTGTGTTGGCTCTTCAATAGAAATAGAGGTAAATCCAGTCTCTTGATTTGGGCCCTGACAAGTGGTGGTCACAGGGACAGTAGTAGCACCAAAACAACAAAAGTTTTGTGACTGTGGAACTAGTGCAACACTGGCAAAAGCACTAGGAAGAGAAGAAAACTATTTAGCTATAATTAAAATAGTAGTTATAATACATACATACATATTCCTATACCTAGTTTGGATATGGTTGAACATTCTGTACAACCATCCATAATATCAGACTCCTAGTTCTTTTGTTAGTAAACTATTTAAACTGAAATTGTCAATGTTTTAGTATGTTACATGTTGGTGAATTTAATACTAATTGGGAAGTGCTTTCTTTACAATTGAAAATGTATCCTGATGCATTAAGAACATGGTTTGTACACAAAATGATAAATTATTTCCTGTACCTTTCCAGTAGCATAGGTGTTGGTGGAGATTTAAGAAGTTCCTTGGAGCACTGTGGCTGATGAGTTAGCAGCCTGTAGAAAACAAAAGTGTTGTGATATTTTTATGATTTAAACTGTGTTATAATAAAACACAGGCTCACATCTTCACAAGTGCTTGATCTTCTTCCTCCTGTGAGTCTCTTTTGATTTCAGGCAGAAAGAACGAAACACTCTTTTTGACCTGTTGAACTTTAACCTCTGGGTCTTTCTCTTTTTTACTCAATGCTTTATGTTTCCATTTCAGCGCACAGCGCTGAACGATTCTCTGTACACATCTTGTGTGCTGAAATAAATATAATGAAAACATCAAATACAACAAGAAACTGCATATTGTCATGTTTTGCTATCACTTCATGTTTTTTATTTTACTTTAAAATCTACAATTTTTAAGTATTATTTAAACATAATTACAGTGAGTTAAAGTATTTTGGTTAGGTATTAACCAGAATACTTTAAATTAAATATTACAATTAAATATAAAAACTTAAATATATTTTTCCCCAGCCTTACATCACTTTACATATTTTATGTAGGGTCAGAAATGTCAAGTCTTTCTTTTTTCTTGTGGTAGTAATCAAGTCATTTGAAATAAACAACATTTAAAATAAACAACATTTAATTTGAAAAAGGTAATCAGAAACCGTGTCCTACATGTTCTTGTGTGTGCTGTGTCAGGCTGGTAGTCAGGTCATTCATTTGGGCTGCATATGTTAGTATACAGGACACGCCCTCTTGGAGCAGCTTGTCTCTGTAAAACTGAGTGGCTTGGGTCACTTCCTCTCGCTCCCTGCGTTGTTCAGTCACATGCAGCCTCCATGCATTCAACACCTATATCATATTCATAATACACAATTAGTCAAGTCCACATGGAGTTAACATATTGTTATGAAAAATGACATTCCTATTGTACTCATTTATAATTAGCATAATGTCAGAAGGAAAACATGCCGGGACTATGAAGTTAATAAAATTTTCATCTTGATCAAAATGACTAGTTGAATCAATTACAAAATTTTTTTAAAAACAGTTGTTTAATTCTGCTGTGAATGATGTGGGTGCTTGTACTGCAAAAAACAGGAGCAAAGCCACATACCAAAATTATATGGAAACAAGGCCCTACTTAATGAACAGGTAAACATTTGACAAGAAATGAAATTACTGAAATTATTCTGATGATTATTGAGGCAAATAATTTTGATAACGTTTTTTCCCAATAATCAAGCTCAAACATGCTCAAGATATCTAACCTGAAGACTTCAAATTACCCCCTAGTTTGGCCTAAATAATGAAACCCTGCATTACATTATATAGTGCCCCCAGTGTCTTCCTTGTTCAGTTCAGTTGCAGATCACATTACTTTATTCTCTCTGAAACCAGCAACCAGCAAGTAACCAGCAAGTACTAAAGAACTTCAGATATTTGTCCTGAGCATGATTTATCTACACACTTTGTAGTCAGACAGAGTCTGAAAAATGTGGTGTTGTTACCTTGGCTTGAAGGGAGAGGGACCAGTGCCAGAGCGCATGTTCAGTCTGCCTCACCTCCCTTCGTGTGTGCTGCAGCTGTAGCAGGAAATAGACCAAAGTGAAGTCTGTCTGATTTATAAACCCTTATTTAGTGTCTATCCCCAGTAATATACTCAGATAACAGATAACTTAGTTCTAACTTTGAATTAATTACTACATAAATCATATTAAGCATGTTAATAACTATGATAAAAGAGGGCCAAAACAAATATATTTTACTTGTGTTAATGTTAAATTCACAGATATTTGATGTTGTGACATAAATAACATGCACCTTAATTTTCCAAAGATCAAAAAAAGCCTGCCATGTCTTCAGTCTCAGCAACAAACTGGCTTGTCGTTTCATTACCTACAAACGCAAAAAATAGAAAATAACAAAAATTGGTAAAAACACAAATGTACAAGTTACTACCTTATATTTCTGATAATGGTTGAGGTGATTTTCCCAAGCTCTAAAGGCCTTAGTGAGGACAGTGTTGTCATGGTGCCACTTGGCTCTTTGCAAGTGGAGCCGCTTAGTTTGAACATCTTTGGTTTGTATGCGCCATTTTTTGAAGAAATGCAGCAATTGTCCTAAACAACAACAAAAGGTATTTTTCTTCCCTTTATGATTCATGCCTTACATTTTGTAAAGTTTAAATGTAAACGCATAATTACTTTTATTTATGGATTCCTGAGCATTGCTTAGTACTGCCATCTGTTGGTGATACTTGGCCACTGCATGTGCTGTTGCTTCTTTCCAAGCACTGAACACCTGCATTGGAATATAAAAGAAATTGTAAAATTATAATATTATTATTATTATTATAAAATAATACAGAGAAAAATACAGATTTATAACCTTAAGTTGAAGCACATGTCGGTGGTGATTTCGAGCCATTTGTTTCTTAATTCTAAACTTGGCAGATTCAGCTGCATTTTCCTGCCACATTCCTACCACTCTCCTGGAAAAATGTGTATTGTAAAACATAAAATATAAAGTATAAAGTGGACAACCTTTATTCTGTGCAAATCATTATTAAAAGATAAATGTACTGAAAGTAAATATAGTTGGTAGGCGATTAATTAATACCTGAGGGACTTGAGTGTTTGCTGCTTATAAAGTTCATCTGATTGAGCATGTACAGAGTGCATCTGGAGGTTGTGTTTCTAACAGACAAAAAGATAATTTAAATTTAATGAATGTGTAATTGTGCTATACTTCTGTTTTTTTTAAAAAGGAATTAACTGATTTACCTTCCATGCTGTAAATGAGTGTTTGAGAATTTGGTTTTCATGGTACTCCAGCATTTCCTCTGCTTTTTGTTTCTTGGCCTTTTGAATCTGGACAAACTAACAGTGAACATAAAAAACAATCAGGAGCTCAACTGTGTCTTGTAATTTCCATTGTTTTATAACACATATTCTACAACATATAATTGTAACCTTTTTCCATTTTTCCATAGTCCATCTCAGGATGCACAGGTCACCTTGATGGTAGGCTTGGACCTCTTGGTTTCTCCTGAATAGATTTTTTTATTTTACAAAATGCTTAAATGTTTTAATATTTAAATCTTTCCTCACCTGTATTTTAGCTCAGCGCAGTTGTCCTTCCACTGTGTCAATGTCTTTTGCAAAAGTCTTTGCTGGTATAGATGTTTTGAAATGTCCATCTTATTTTGCTCCTTGATCCTCATTTCTGTTCGTTTCCTCCAGAGAATCCAGGCGTTTTGCATTCGACCACGTTCCTCATGAAATATTGCCTGAAAAGATTTATATATTACACTCTATGCAAGGACACAGCATTCACAAAGAGTTCAACAAACCGTTTGTTCTGCCATCTTGTGCTCTTTGTGTTTTTCTGATAATCCCCACCAGCTGTAAAAAACCCAGGAGTGCTGGCGCTGTCTGCAAGAAGAAAAATGTAATGTATATACACACATATGAGAGAGAGAGGAGAGATAGAGATATAATTTGTTTAAAATATTAGTTGCTACCTGTTGTATTGCTCAGCTTTGACTTTCTTTGTTTTTGGATCATTTCCTGGTGAGTTAAGCTAAACCATGACTGAAAACAGCGTGGAACTATGTGGTCAGCAAACAACATATCTGCTTGCTTTGCCAAAGTCTGCAAAAAATAATGATATGAAATAATTCAATTAATACAAATTTTTAACACTCAGGAATCCTGTAAAGGTCTATTGACAATACCTGCATATGTATTAACTCAGCCAACTTCTCTTTCCAGAAGTTGAAACAAGTTCTTGACAAAGAGATGCTGCAAAAATAAACTGTACATAAGAAACTAGAAAAGCACTCAGAGAGCGCAGACCTCCGCCAAGGACTACCCCCATTTTTTATATAAATTGCAATAAAATCAGTCTTCTGGATCAGATCCGGATCAGCCTTTGGAATATGAAAGAGGATCCCATTGTCCATCCCTGAGAATTAGCTGAGAAATATTGAGAAACAAAATTTTTGGCCCCATTTACCACAATGTTAACTAAAATTTCAAAGTGATCTAGAATCCAGGATTTCTTCCGGATCACCCCCAAAATGAAATCAGTTCTTCCTTTTCACATTTCCAACAAATCCTGAAAATTTCATCAAAATCGGTCCATAACTTTTTGAGTTATGTTGCTAACAGACAAACAAACAAACAAACAAACAGACAAATGCTGGCAAAAACATAACCTCCTTGGTGGAGGTAATAATAATCTATTTAATGATATATTGAGCATTAAAGAAGCAACAACTGAAAACACCTGTAAAACATTTGAGCCTTCTCAGTGAGATGCTGAAAATCTTTGTCTTCTGCTTGCTCCAGACGCTCCTGCCACAGTCTCCAGTATGTCCCTAAGATCTTAAAAACAAAAAGAATAGCGTTCATATTATGGTGTTCGATCTTGAATGCGTTTAATAACTGGCAGTTATTATACTGCCACTTTGTCACTTACAGTTTGATGGTAATGTTGGACAGCCACACTGTTGTTAAGTTGCTTTGATTTAGTTAACTTAACATTGCGAGACAAACCACTGAAAGCGGCTCTCTGGAGACACAGTAATATAATTATCTTGAAGAATAACTTACACTGGATTGAATTTGCCCTCTTGGTTCTTACCAGCAAGTTATGGTGATAATGCTCTTGTACTTTCTGGTTACTTTCAGCTTTTTTGTGACATAACTTTACATCTAGTCATAAGTTTAAGAATTTGGCAGAATGAGAGAACTTAAAGTAGTATAGATATCCTATAAACATATTAGTGACATTTGTTAAAGGTGCACAGTGTTTTGGCTGAGGTACTCCACTTTCTTGTCTGCATTGCTTTGCCTTAAATGTCCCATAGTTTGTTATTTAACATCTACATTACCATGGAGACAAGCAGGTGATATGTCCAGGTTACAGATTTGTGAAGATGATAGTCCAGTCATAGTAAGCATGCATAATTTCAAGGTATTTTGGCATTAACATCTCCTGTAATAATAAATATATGATAGATATGTTTCATGTTCTGGAGGGACTATGTCTCTTGGTTGACCTGGGCCTCCATGCTGCCTCCGTGACCTGGCCCTGAATAAAGCAAAAGATCAATGGATGTTTATTAGCATACTGTGAAACATTCCTGGCAAGGCAGAATATAGTCAAGCAGGTGGTAAATCCTCCACCACAAAAGTTAAATAGTGCATTATATTTTATTATAATTATGAAAAAGTCAGCAATGCGTAACAATGACCTGGAATATAAAATATTTTGTTAAGTAGGAGGACATTATGAGGGGAGTGTTAAAGGATACATGCTTTCCAGCAGTTGACGACTCGACGCTGACACATCCTGACAGCCAAATACCCCGCAGCCTCCAAACGCACCTCTTCACTCCATTTCTCATACAACGCTTGACACCATTTGGTCCAGTACACCCTCATAAGCCAGAGACGACTGGTATTCTGAGCTACGACTAAAAGATAAAATAAAGTAAATATAATGTCCACATAATTCACAACAATGTTCATTACAGCACAGTCAAAAATTCTAAATCACCTTTTGATGTGCGTTTTGCACGATGGCAGGAAACAAAAATGATCCACTGATTAAATGTTTTTCTCTTCAGTCTGGTGGCATTCTGATGTGAGGCCTTTAACTCCTTCAGTCTATTATGACCTGAAATTGTGTACATGTCCCTCCAATGTTGTAAAACCTTAAAAGAAAAAATGCCAGTTGCAATATGATAATTGCTTTAAATAATTTCATGATTTAACTTGACAACCTTCCGCTGTGTTGCCAGTCTTTTCTGCTTGAGGGATTCTTCTTCCACTGCATACAGGTAGTGAATATGCTGTAGCTTAGTCGTCCATTTACTCCACATAGATCTGCGTTGATCAAATAATACACTGACTGTTTTGAAATGCTACTATAATCATTCAACAAACAAACTGGGGCTGCAGCCACAAATAATCAGATAAATCATCTCTGAAACATGCTATACCACCAAAATAGTTCATACAAATACGGAACAGTACAACAATGTATGTGTTTGTGAAGACTGTTTTCTGAAAATATGCTCTAGAAGTGGGTGGAACGAGACACAATTCCCACATAGTATCCATGTGGTTCAAATATAGTGAAAAAAAAAAAAGAATGGCACATTAAATATACACTTTATTCACTATATTTTGTATTTTACTATCAAATATGTAAGTAATAATTTATTAGTAGCGACTAATCCATACATTAAAAGCTCACTACGTAACTTTACTGATGAAGGATCTGCCATCTGCTTGTCTCCAAGGATATGATTGAAAGTTCAACATGGATTCTTGCATTGAGGTGGCTTACTTCTGTACGGAACTGACCTGTAATATCTGGTAGTATCACCTGCTTATCTCCATGGGAGACGGATAAATTCAGTGCTATACAGTGGAATATTCCAGGCATACCTATAATATTCCCACCAAGCAGGTGGTATATCCTCCAAAGAAAAGATACTCAGTGCATCTTTGATTCTATCAGCACAATTTTCAGTTCCAGCTGTACAACAAACCAACCAACAAATAGAACATACTCAGTTGTTGTATGTTTGTAGTGCTGAAGAGCCGTAGCAATATTTCTCTTTTTTATTCTCCTCATTTCTGTATAATCCTCCCAGTTTCCCCATGCATGGAGCAAACGCTGTCTGTCAGCTGGTTTAAAACACAATTACATGTAAAATCTTTTAGTCACAGCAATAAAATGCAACCAATAAAGAAATATATTTTACCAAATGATCGAGCATTTTGGATTTTAATCTTCTTTTTTGTTTGCAAAATCACGAAATCTTTCCATCTGTGGAACATCTGGTTATATAGGAAATACCTAGGGTGATGGTGAGAATAGAACAACTTAACAGACTTCATTACGACACCTTTTGTGTAATACACATGAACCATAATTTGAAAAAAATGTCATTAACTAAAAATAATTACATAATTTACATTTATGTTCTACACCTGCTTTATTTTATGTTTAGCTGCTCTCAATTCTATAGATTTTCTTGTTTTTACTTCTCTATACAACAAAGGGTATGAAAAAAGATATCCAGAAAGATCAGCATTGAAACTAAATCATTTGAATAATTTGAATACGTATAAATGGAAAAATAATAAATAATAATAATAATAATAATAATAATTAATTAATTAATTAAATAAACAACATTGGCTCTGTCCTGAATAGTTCTGAAATATACTCATTTAAAAGCACATCATATCATGAAAAAAAATAAAAATAAGTTTGAGGTGATAATTCAAAGCCATTGAAGAGTTTTTAATTTTAGGATCATGGCACAGCAATACAGTTAGTATAAATTGTATATTTCTATAAATGATTAAGCCTTTAACAATAAATAATAGGGCTGGTGTCATTAAGAAGTTGCCCATATGATATATACCTCGATACATAGACCACGATACAATGGCTGTGACAGTAAAAGTCTTTGTTAAACGACTTCTTGTGTAAAGTTCATATGAAACACAAACATTTTAATCATCAAACAGTGAAAATGGAAAATGTATCACAAAAACGAGTTTCCTTCCTCTAAATAAACAACAAAACTGTAGAGCTGTAATAAAATCAATGAGTAAAATGTACTAAAATATACTTGTAGTGATATATCGATACAGCAGCCCGCGATATCGATACTGTATCATCACATTAAACAATACGATATATCAATATTTTGATATTTTTGCACACCCCTAATAAATAATTTAATCATGAGATCATCCCTGCCCACTAGTGTTTGGTCCAATGCCACAGACAAGCTGGTTTTGCTGAGTCTGTTAAATAACATTTGTGGTTTGTTGTGTATGATTAACACAACTATATGCCCATCATTAAACATAGGAGGTCCTAAATATCTGAATGTGTACCCAACCTGTGGTGACACTCTGCACGCAGCATTAAACTCCACTCCCTCCTTGATGTCCACCACTCATCTTTCCATGTTTCAAAGACGCGCCTCAAAATCACTCCCTTATAGTGGGATCTGGAACATTAAATTAATATTAATGTAAAAAAAACAACAACAACAAAAAAAACATCACACGCGACACATTAAAGACAATTCATACAATAAGTTCAAGACCTAGTCCTGGTATACAACGAAATAGACAAAATAATAGGAAAAATGAATTATTTACTTTGCTTTGTGAGGAAGAACTCGTCCAAATGTATTCTGTATCCATATCTTCAGAAATTTCCTAGCTAGATGCCTGTAAAAATAAGTGTACTTTTAAAACAATTTAAAGCATAGTAGTTAAGTGTTCAAAAATGAAAGATGTGCCACCTTATTCTTAGTTCTTTTAGTCTTCCTCCCTTGTTCCAGGTGTAACCAACTTTGTAAAGGATTTTTCTGGTTTGAACGGTTTGTTGTTGTTTTGACGCAGACTTGGTAGCTCCTGTTCGGTGGTGTTTCAGCACTCGTGTGTTTTCGGAGTTGTGGAGCATTATTGGTTTCCTGATCAGTCGTATCCCAACACATATACAAGCGATCAATATTTAAGCAAAATGTATGAGGGATTCTCTCGCATTTTGCCAAACTTCACGCAGAAATCGAACTGAACATCGCGCGTTCGCATTTCCTCGTCACGTGACATCTTCAGGTCTGTCAGGTCTGAGTTGTCAATGGCAACGACTCGGGGTCACGCTCATAAAAACCTGATGATTTACCGTGTCGATTGAGAAATTAATTCACGACGACAATACATTGAGCAGTATGAGTATATTCATGAACAAAAACGTGATGTCAACACCATGGATGGGTCAAAACCATGGTGAGAAAAAAACAAAAACAACTACAAAAAAAAAAAAAAAAAAAAAAAAAAAAAAAACGCGTCCTTTCAAGTTTCGGCCTTGTCCAATATCTACCAGAGCAGTCCACAATTTTTGTTGCGGCAAGTATGGTAATTTTCATGTGATGGATTCATTAAACTTACCCGAAGGCAAATAAGGAGGCCAGGGCTACGCCTCGATTTACAGTCTGTCCATATTTTATATGTGTTTGCCAGTTTATAGGTCTATCAAATATGCCAGCCTTCAATATTATGTGTTTTATCTGCCGCTAATAAAAGTAATGTAAAATGCACTCACAGATTATAAAAATTGTACTCAGGCGCGCCGGGCACGGCGTAAGCTTTCGCAGGACCTTCTTAAAGCGGTGATCAGAGGAAAAATTCTGCTACGACTTAGAAATTAGAGAAAGACCAGGCTATTATCAGAGATTATAGTGTCCGTGTGAGAATTATTTTGTTTTTGGACTTGTGTCCTTGTTTTAAGTTGCCAGAGTTTCGTGTGTGTTTGCTAACTTTTCTGTAAAAACTCATCCGGCTTCATATTTGGTACTCTCCGGGTGGGCATTATCCCATTCCCAGCAGTTAGCTGGCTAGCTCTGGTGCTAGGTTAGCCAGCTGGCTAAGAAGAGCTGTACCTGTCGGCATTCATAACTTGTGACACATAGATTTGCTGCTGGGTAAGTTAAAATGTGTGCTATACCTATATTTGTTGGTTATTTTGCCCTTGAAAGAGTATGGGACAATTTAGGGATGGTAAACATCGGTACTGTTATGCTAACTTGGCATAAATGCTAATTGCTAAACATTAGCATACGCGTCAATTAAATAAAATATAAAAACTACAGCCTCATTTCTTGGCTTTGCTATCATATTTCTGACCGTTGTTTACCCCACTTTAAAAGTTCCTGTTTATTTTTTTCTCTAGTGTTTTCTCAAAGTTGATTTAATTGTCAACGATCTTGGGCTGTTTTCAATCAGCTTGTTAATTGCTCATTAGCGTTCGATCTAAAGTTTGTGGCATCGTATCCCAGCCTTACGCTTAAATTTGTCTATTTAAACACGAGTTTAGATATGTATATATATATATATATATATATATATATATATATATATATATATATATATATATATATATATATATATATATATATATATATATATATATATTTATATATGTAAATTAGTTTACTGCTCTCCCACAGAACTAGTAGGTATTGGGCCAAAAGTTGTCTGTGCCGGTTTACGATTCAGCCATGGACGGCGAGACTTGTGTGGAGCAGAGAAATGGAGACGCCGCTGTGGACCTAGTCAAGCCAGCAGCTTCATTCAGATACAGCAAGGTGACAGTTATCACAACTTTAGCAGCCCCGGTATATAATTTCACTCCGTCCTTGTTACTAAAGGCTGCCATCTTTTTGTTGCAGGAGGAATTGCTTGAAATCAAGGAATTGCCAATCTCCAATGAAAGGCCTGAATGCCTCTCTGAAAAATATGACAGGTAAAGTTACTTGTCAACTAAACAAAATGCTGTTTGCCAGTACTGTTCAAGCTGATGTAAATCTCTTCAGCTACTGAAAGAAAATATTAACCCTTTTACTAAATTGAAATTATTAATGAGCAATTAGAAAAACAACATTAATCATTTCCATAGATTACAAAAGGTCTGGATTTTATTTATTTATTTTTTTTTTGGCAGTGGTGCCAGCTGACTTAATGAATTATTGCAACATATTTATATACGAGGGTTTTCATCCCAACCATGCGTTCACAATTCTAGATTTACTCTTTGCTCTTGCTCTGTTTTTATATTTGATATTTGTCTTGTGGTTGTTGCCAGTCAGTAACATGCATCACATTCCTACTATGCAAGGTGGGTGAATTGTCTTACGGACCTTTGGGTTGGTAAGCCCTTGTATAATGCCGATTTAAGGCAAAAAAAAACTACAATTATTGAATGCATTTTAACAGTTTTATTCACTTTTTAAAAAACTTAATGTGTACAGTGTTTCCTAAGATGTGCTTTAATTGTAACATCTGTTGATACAGTGATGGTGTCTGGGATCCTGAAAAGTGGCATGCTTCTCTGTACCCCTCGTCAGAGCGAAGCTCTCCAGTAGAAGGTTTTAAGAAGGACTACGGAGATGATAGAGTTCCTCTAAAACGAAGAATCCCAGGTAACTATGAAACACAACTTGTGGTAAATGTATTGTAATTTATCTTCAGTAATGATCCATTTGGCTTTGATGGATTTGGTTTTAGATCCTCGTGAGCGCTTAAAGGAAGATGAACTGGATGTGATTCTGAGTCCTCAGCGACGCAGCTTTGGAGGTGGCTGTCAGGGAAATTCTGCACCCTTGTCCCATATGAGACGGCCAATCAGCCCTCTGGAAAATAAGGAGAATGAGAGTCTTCGTCTTGGAGGAGCTCGTAGAATTGGCAGTGGCCGCATAATTGCTGCTCGAGCATTTGAGCGAGAACCACGTATGGAAAAGGAGCGGGAAAGGGAGAGAGACTTCAAGGATAAGAGATTCAGGGTTTGTTTAATTTTTCAGATTTAATTATTCTTAAAAAGTATGCAGAGTGCTAAAGGAAGCCATGAGATTAAAAAATTGTTCATTCTTGTCCTTTTTACAGAGAGACTTTGGGGACAAACGTGTGTTTAGTGAGAGAAGACGGAATGACTCTTATGCAGAAGAGGAGCCAGAATGGTTTTCTGGGGGACCTACGAGCCAGTCTGAAACAATTGAGCTTATTGGGTTTGACGATAAAATGTTGGAGGATGACAAACGCAAGTCCAGAAGGTCAAAGAAAAAGACAGAATCAGTTAAAGAAGGTATGGTATTAATATGTTATAATAATTTATATCAAATAGAGTTGGCATAAATTAGAATGTTGTTAACAGTTGAATGTAATGGTGGGCAAGCTGAGGAGCCAGGTGTGGTTTTACAATCTACAGCTGATCAGGAGGTTCCCCACACGGATGTACTTCCAGAACAGTCAGCAGGAGACTTTGACTTCAATGAGTTCTTCAATTTGGAGACCATGCCAGGACTGGCATCTGTAAGTATTGAGACCTGGTCAGCGTCTAGGTGAGCTTGGTGCAATGTGTATTTCACGAATGTAGATGTGCTCAATTCTTTGGGCTGGTGTTTTGGATTGTGTCACTTGGGGTGCACTTGTGGGATGAATCAACTAAAATTTATGCCCATCTGTGTCTCTTCTTTGAAACAAAGCACTATTGGCTGTCTAATAATAAAAATATACATTCTGAATGATTAGCGCCAGCCTCCAATAATAATCTAAAAGTAAATGTACCTGAGGTATTGGTGCTAAGAACAAACAACTTGACTGACTTTGAGCATAAGCTATGAGCTCCTTATAGGCATTTCCTTTGCAGATGATCGAAGATGTTCTTGGGGAGGGCCCTGTGTCTGCAAGCCGTTTCAGTCAGTGGTTTTCAAGTAACTTGAGTCCTTCAGGCAGCCGCTCCAGCAGCCTTCGGTCCACTCCTCATGAGGAATTGGAAAGATTAGCGGGTAAATTAGGATTTAATCCAGGACTTGTGATGTACGGTTTAGTTTCTTTCATTTTGTTGTACTTTTTTACACAACTGTTGTAATTCAAGGGCTTGACCCAAACCATGGACCTGCGCCATACTTTACACCTATTCCATCAGATTGTAAAGAAAAGGTTGACATCCTGGAGATGCTGCACAAAGCCAAAATTGACTTGAAGCCGCTGCTTTCAACACTCTCTGTCAATAAGGCACGCCTTCAGGAAAGCAGTAAGTGACATTTTACTATGAAGTCTATATAGTAATAGTAATTCTATTATATGATAGTAATTTGTAAAATTTACTTCAGTTTCATTAACAAGTACTATTGCCTTTGCTAGGTCACACCGGAGTGGTGCTGTCGCTAGAAGAGGTCGAGGGAGAGATGAAGGGGATGAAGATTGGACCTGAAGCACAGGCACGAAAAGTACCAACTCCACCTCAAGGCAATGGGACCCCTTTTATGGCTGAACATTTGGAGGAGGCACTAACGGGTGGCTCTGGTTCACGGCCAAGATCAAGGGACACAGACATGTCTGCTTTTAATAAACTTGTTAGCAGCATGAAGGCAAGTGGAACTCTTCCGGTCCACCCCAAAACCAACTCAAATAATGTAAGTACTTTTTTATGCCTGATGGTTCAATGGGCATAAATTTGGTTGCAACTTGTTGGAAAAATTTACTTTAAACAAAACATCTGTAACAGGATCACATTGGCTTTTAACCATGCATGCAAGGCACATCAATATGTTGTGGTTTATTCCATGGTGTCCACACATTTTCTCATCTCATCACTCTTGGTGGTGTCTTGAATTCAACCTACATTTGAGTAATTATTACTTCTGATGTATTTACGGTGTTATTTACAGAAAACACCCGAACAATCTATGGTTAGTTTGACTGACTCTCAAGTGCCAGGAGAACAGCAGAAAAACATATTCCAGGTCAGTGTTTTAAATTGCCTATTGCTTCAACATTGTGTCAAATGTAGTTGATTTGTAATGATGCACGCCTCATGTACTTCACCCATGTCATTATACAGGAGCTCCTAGGAGGTCCTTGTAATAGTTCCCCCACATTACTTGGTAATCTCCTGGGTCACACTGAAGGTCCAGCCTCCTCTGCTCTCCTGCAAGGACTCCTGCACAAGAATCCGTCTCCTCCCCTCTTTCCACATAGGACCACCTCACCCGATTACTTCAACAGCCGAATGCAAACCTCTGGAGGTATGCATCACATTGTATGTGTATTTGTAGCTTTTCTGAAAGTACCTCTATTTGTGAACAATATTTGTCTTTCCTGCTAGGATTTCCAGTGGGTTCTCAGCCTATACTGTCTGAACAGTTTGCAGAAATGCACAGAGCAATCAGCCCAGAATCTGCTGCTCAACAGGTACATTTTATTTTAAGATGCACTTCTGATACATTATAGTGATTTATAAACACATTTTATAAAATTGGTCTTATTTATGGCATGTTCTAGATGAGGGCACCATTGCCTGTGAACAAGGCAGACCTAGATGAACTTGCGTTCCAGCAGGACCTTGCCCTTCACACCCACCACTCATTCCAGTCTGGCTACAAGGCTCCACAGGACAGATCGTATAGAAACCGGCAAGTGCCAGTCAAACAAAATCTAAAGATGCTGTTTAAGTAGATTCATATGAACTAAAATGTTGTTGCTCTAGACGCATAAACCGTTCCCCTGGCCCTCAGCCTGCAGGCAGGAACTCTCCCAACAATGCTGTCACAAGCATGGTGAGCCAGATTTTTTGGGCCTGCCATGCAGTTTTATGTCTATGCAGTTATACTAAGTGTTTACCATTTCCAAATCTGCAGTTGTCTCCATCTTTTACTCCCACTTCTGTGATACGGAAAATGTATGCAACAAAAGATAAAAGCAGAGATGAGCCAGGAAGTCGTTCTGAGAGCAAAGATGAGCCATCCACTGCTGCTCACTCCCAAACGGGTACAAAGCATATTCTGCATTGGCATTAATTTAAGTGGTATTATAATTATTGATTAGAGTTGTGTTTTTAGATAATGGTGTGTCAAACTCCTATCCAGAAACAGCAGATGGGACACACCCTTTGTCTGGGAAGGGTGGCTTTGCGCCACAGTCCTCACAGTCGAGTAAGGACCAGGACCGGCTCCGGCCAAGTGGGCACCACCTGCCCAATGTGTGTCCTCAGGGTCCCACCTCATCCTTCCCTCGACCTGTCTACCCAGTCCCTTTGATCCCTCATGTACCCATGGTCCGCCCCCCTCCACAACTCCATCCAAATGTGGTTCAGCGAATGCTGGCTCAGGGCATCCAACCTCAGCAACTTGGTCCAGCTCTTATGCAAGCAGGTCTGTCTTGCCTTATGCAATATTGTTCAGTGGTTATTGAAGCACAGTATGGATGTCTATACAATACCTTGACTAATTTCTAGCTTTTTAAAATTCTTTCCAAAATGTTATTTTAAAGGTATAATTCCACCTCACATGGATATAGCACAACTTCAAGGCTTGCCTCCTGCCCTGCTTGCCCCTCCACTGTATCCTCTTAATGCAGCAGGCCATCCACTGCTACCTCCCAGACCTAATGCTCAGATGCAGTTTGCTGCAATGCAACCACTTCAACAGCAAAGACAGAGTAAGTAATCATATTTGAGTGTGGAGTGAATGAATTATGCATATAATTGTAAAGCAACTTTGAGCATCTGGAAACGGGCTATAATAATAATAATAGTTATTGTTAATAGTTATTGTTATTAATGATGTGAGCTTTTTTTAAAAGACATTAAGTCTTGTATCTCATGTGTTCCAGTGCATCCTGGAGGACCCCAGTCTCAAAACCAGGGACCTCATCGGACCAGCAGCTCACAGCGACATGGAGGCAGTCCACCCTTGGGCCTTGCAAAATGGTTTGGATCCGAGGTGCTCGAGCAGCCGCTGCCGTCCATGCCTGCCAAAGTCATAAGTGTTGATGAGTTGGAGTTTCGACCGTGACCCATTACACACTGCTGAACACCCCAGCTTCATCTCGTTTCTGGAAAAATGTGAACTTTACTTTGAAAGAGTGCACAGACCTGGACAGTCTAACGCTTTGTCTTCAATCTCATTGTCACTGCTTTTTAAGAGGTTTATTTTCAGAGAAGGGAAGAGTCATTTGTTTTCCAGCTGAGTGAATTTTTTTCTTTTGTATGAGACTTTACATGAAAATCTTGAAGTAAATAATGTGTATAAGCCCAATTGTACATAATAAGGGAAAGATTATTCTCCTTGTACATAGTGTTTTTTTGTTTTGTTTTTTGAGGAGTGGGAAATATGTAAGTAAACTGCAGTACAGCTAAATTGGAGAGACAAAATTGTAGCTTTCCTTTGTCCAACTAGTAATTCCCAAGCTGCTAAGAGAGGCCCACTGTTAAAGAAGTGCTTGTCTAGTCATTTAAATATAATCTACCCTTATGGCATGGCTGGTGGGCTTTTCTGATGACGTGACTGAGCTGGAGCTTCGAGTGAACTCCATGGGAAGCAGTGACTGCTGGTTGTGCCTTTCTTTTTGTTTTCTGTAAATTGTCTCCCATTCAGCCCTTCACTCAAGAGCAGCCAAGCTCAGAGGCTGGTTGGGAGTCAGTTTGTTCTGTGCTATTTATTTAAGAAAGCACAAAATAGATAAATAAACTGAGTAATAACTAAGTATTTCTTTGTTTTGAATGAACACAAGCAGTGAGTCTGTGCAAGAAAAATTACACAACCTCAAGTTTAGTCGCTGTTCAAAACATGCATTGATGACCTTACCCAATATCCTTGCTTGAAAAATTATTTCCATTTGCCATTAACGTTACGAATAGATTAAGAAAGCAACTCTTAATTTTCACCTGTAATTCTAAATGGCCTGTCTTAACCCCTATGTGATCCTGCCATGTGTGGGCTTTCCTACCACACAGCCCTTTTTGGAGGGGAGGGGGCGGCAGCATGGGGGGAGGGGTTTGACAAACAAACCAGACAGGAAGAGCCCTGTTAGAAATTTGGTTTTGCAGTCTTGAAATACTCTTGAGGTATTTGTCACAGCTACACTATATGTACATAAAGATGAGAAGAAACCGTCAACGTGTATAGGAATTGTTACGCGCAGAGCATGGACAGCTGTACAAAACAAGAGCGACCCCCACCCCCGAAGAAACCAGGGTTAAAGTTGACAGGAAGCTGGGGGGCTGCCATTTTTCCCTGGTGCTACTGCTAACGATGCTAAAACTGCGAGAGGAGAGGTGGATTTGGGATTTTTAACCTCAAGAAAGCATTTAATCGAAATCGTTTTCCTAACGTAATTATTCCTTCTGCCCTTGTCGCTAAACAACCATAAATATTGGATGAATCCGGTATGGAGAAGGTAGCGGAGCCGTCTTGGACCTCTTCGTACACCTATCAGGTGAGCAAGCACAGCACTGAGATGCTACACAACCTGAACGCACAGAGGAAAGATGGAGGCAGGTTCTGCGATGTGGTCCTCCGCGTTGGTGAGGAGAGCTTCCCAGCGCATAAAGCCGTGCTGGCGGCTTGCAGCGAGTACTTCGAGTCGGTCTTTAGCCGCCAGTCTGAAGGCGACGCCAAGGAATTGGAGATGCACACAATAAGCCCCAAAGTCTTTAAAGACATCTTGGACTTTGCGTACACCTCAAGAATAGTTGTGCGTCTGGAGTGCTTCCCCGAGTTGATGACAGCTGCCAAGTTTCTGCTCATGCGGTCTGTCATTGAGATCTGTCAGGAGGTGATAAAACAGTCCAATGTGCAGATCCTCGTGCCCACGTTACGCGGTAGCGATGCCAGTCTGTTCCAAATCCACACAGAGCCCCCAGCGCTGAGCTTGTGTGTGACTCCGCAGGATTTGATCAACGGGATGGGCATGCATCTTGTGAACGGACAAACGCCAAGTGACCTGGATGGCAGCGAAGCCTCTGCGGCTGTGCTACTAGAGGACCCCGGGGAGCCGATCATGCCTACTTTACAGCCTGTAGACGGAGTCTCCCCCTCCATGGAGATAGCAGGAGCCATGCTTCATCATGACAATGGGTCCCCAACCTCCAAGCGGAATAAGAGCAGCCCGAAGAAACCCGGAGTGGACACTGTACACTTGGATCAACAGAAAGACATCGGGTTGTTTCCTTGCAGGACTTGTGGTAAAGCTTTCACAGAGGCTTCACGATTAAAGAATCACGAGGCCCAGCATGGGGCTTCCAGTGGAAGTGTCACCAGTCTCGCGGCCCCAGGTGGCCTCAGTCTGGTGGAGAACGGGGTGCAGTTGCACGGAGCCCTGGCGCCGGACAACAGCCGTAAGCGCGAGCGAACCCGGCGGCATGTGGGCTGTGACATTTGTGGCAAAGTGTTCCGGGATGTATATCACCTGAACAGGCACAAACTCTCACATTCTGGGGAAAAACCTTACGCGTGCCATGTTTGTGGACTCCGGTTCAAGCGCAAGGACCGGATGTCCTACCATGTGCGCTCCCATGATGGCTCTGTGGGCAAGCCATACGTGTGCCAAAGCTGTGGTAAAGGCTTTTCAAGGTGAGTGCATTTATTTCACAGCACTTTTATACACCTGTCACAGCTGTTAGTGTAGCTTGGAAGATACAATACACATTGGACTTATTCTATCCCTAATGTGAGGGGTTTAACTTCTGGTTTGGTTTAATAATTTTTTATTGTCTGTGTTCAGACCAGATCACCTAAATGGACACATAAAACAGGTTCACACAACAGAGAGACCTCACAAGTGCCAGGTAACCTCGAATTAATCTTTACAGGGATTGTCTGTACCTAATATGGGAAATAATATTTAGTTTGTTTCAGATTTGCAATGCCTCTTTTGCGACAAGAGATCGCCTCCGCTCACACCTTGTATGCCATGAAGATAAAATCCCCTGTAAGGTTTGTGGAAAATTTCTTCGAGCTGCCTACATGACGGACCACCTCAAAAAACACAGTGAAGGACCTCATAACTTCTGCAGCATTTGTAACAAAGGTAATTGTCTGGTTACCTTAAATATGGTGCTGGGGCTAGCCTCAATATTTTACATTTTATTTTACTGTAATTTTTATCATAAGCTGAATGATACAATAAAGTTAAAGTCATTTAATCAACATTCACACAAAGTATTTTTTTGAGATGCTGAGATCATTTTTGAAAGGCTTTCTCTTAAAAAGCCAATGCTGGAAGTTTGTCAATATCTGCCCATGTTTTTTTTTTTTGCCATGTTTTGCTTTTCTGGTCTCAGGTTTCTCCACTGCCTCATACCTTAAAGTGCATATAAAGACACACCATGGCACCCCACTGCCCCCCTCCTTCCCTGACCCCAGAGCAGAGCCGCAGATGCACCACGGCACCCCTTACCACATGGGACGCCAGTGCTCAGTGGAAGGCAAGCAGCCGTCTGCCCGTCCCAAACATAGTGTTTTGGCTTTCCTTTGCTCTGTTGCTTTTTGGAGAAACGTGCTTTTGCATTTTTGTTTAATACACGACAAACATCTGCTTCTGCTACTGCTGAGCCTTCACTCAAATGTTGGCTGTAAAACTCATCTTTTGTGTCATCCCCTATGTGTTTGCCTTAAGACATATGTTGATCTTTTGCTTGAACTTCTCTTTATCACATTCATAGTGCATAATGTGCAAGAGTTATGTTCATTTTTTACCTGTTAGCATACTATTATATTTGCCTTTTTTATATTCAGGTTTTATTTAGGTTTTCCCCCTTAACTAGAACCCGAGTGTAAGGTTGTTAACAAAGTCTTCATGCTCCATGTTTTGTCATGCAGAGTCATCCTTGCTGTGTAATTTGTATAGTTGACATGCAGAGCATGGCCCGCTTAGATTGAGCTTGGCACTTGCATTGGATGCATGACTGTCCTTCTGATTTGTAGACGTATGATCTGACACTAGTGCAGTTGTCAGATTGCATAATTTATAGTTTAAGGTAAAATGTTTATATCAGTTGATATAGTCACAGTGTCATCTTTTGATGGTAATTTTTTGGTTTTGCTGGCTTTTTGTTTGTCCTCCCCTTCCCCTGTCCTGGGCTGGTGTAGATCTGTGCACCAGTCGACAGCTTCAGTTCACCTCGTCTGAAGCAGAGGGTCGCTTTCATGGCCTTTCTGGACACACTCTGCTTCCACAGTCTGGCCCTCCTGTGGGCTCGCAGCCTGAGCTGCTCATGGGGAAGCCAGGTGGGGCTCCATATTTCTGGGAGTGTCGCTCTGGGCTGCCTGGCTTCCCAGTCCATGGTTCTGCCGCAGGTCAGTACTGTGCAGCCAGGCGTGGGTGGGGCCAGACTAAGTGCTGAAGGAACATGTAGTTGTTTTTTGGCAAACTGGTTGTGTATGGTGTTTTTAAATTGAGTTTTTCTTAGTTAAAGGACTTGTACCCGATTATTTTTTCCATGTATTTGAGTGAAAGCCATCTTTCCCCCGTACAGATATATTGTATAAGAAGCTATAAAGGTCAAAATAAGTCCATGTACTGTCTGCATCTAATAATAATAAAATGTTTTATTGTCTGAGTGCACAGTTAGCATGCTAGTTGTTGTTGGCTTTAGCTTTTGTTGTTAGCTGTTAGCTTTTTAGCTGTGGTCACTTAACACCACTCTGTTCTCTGAAAGTTGTGCGCATAAACTTATCACTGTGAGTAATTATGCTCTGAAAGTATAAGGTAAGTGAGGAATAACTTTGGACCATTGCATATCATTTAAAATTAAGTAGTTCTGTTACATTTTCAATTGGGTACAATTCCATTTAAATGATCAATATCCATAATTATTTGTTTTTGTGTAAAGCGTACACACATGTTTACCTAATTAAAATCATATATTTTTTCTTCATTGTGACCTCATTTCTTTATTTGTCTCTTTTCCTCATCTATCCCATCCTTTTGTTTCCCAGATGGACAAGAAAACACAGACAAATGTCCACATCTGGAGTCAGAGGAATCAGACCCTTCGTTTGGAGAACTTTCAAACGGAGATGAACTGAAATCTCCACACAAGTCTGATGTGCCGGACATTGAAATGCCTACATTAGTCTGCAACGGCACCTCTGCAGGGACCATGGGCTCTCCTGAGTCCAAAGCAAAGACCGAACCTGAGAAGAAATTTATCTGCAACATCTGCGGCCAAGCCTTCCGCACCAAGTCCTACCTCAACAAGCACCAGCACAGAGTCCACAAACAGAAGGCCCAGGCAGGGTCTGGCCTGAGTGACCTGGCTCCTACCTTGTCCTCTCCCTTCTCCCCTCAGCAGAACATGTCTCTGCTTGAGTCCTTTGGCTTTCAGATTGTGCAGTCTGCATTTGCCTCCTCTTTGGTGGATGCAGACGCAGGTCAAAGTGGACTTGACTTTGGAGGCAAGTGACACTACTCACATTTAGTAGCTTCTTTATTTATAGAGAAATGCTTCACAGAAAGTACTTTGTATTTGGGACTAGCATACACTTCTTTTGCGTGTCTACAGCTGCTTTCACTTGGCAATTTTTAGACTGCCACAAAATATATATTTTATAACCTATTCATGTAATGTAAATTATGTAATTTTCTTTTTAATAGATGTAACATGAGGACTTTGTTGTGTTAATCATTTGAAAACATATGGGCTTGACTGTGTTTTTCTGAAGTAAAAAGTGCCCAGTTTAACTGCTCTGAATTATATGATTTATTCACTTTCTTTGTGCCCAGAGAATTTAAAGGGCTCCATTTTGGGTTCATGCTTGAAAATATTTTTCTTTTCAGAAACTGTGAGCTTTATTTAGAACGGACTCATTCCTTTTGTGTGGTGGTCTTAATGCATAATTTAATAAATACATACTGATATTACCATTAACATACCAGCACAGCAGTTATTGTCTTTATAATCCAGTTGAATTTAGCTGACTAATAATGGGGATCATAATCTACTGTGCACATTTGTTGCCAAAACTCAGTTTATCTTGAAACAAAAAGAGGTGAAAACAAAGGCACTTGTCATATGTTAAAATGACAAAAAAAAAACTGTGTCTTATTATTTGTTCTTTGTCTTGCAAATGTTTGCTCTCAGCCACCAAAGAGCACCTAACCACTTATGAGCTTTATTTCTTTCATCATTTTATTTTGAAATATGCCATGAGGCTGTTGTGACTTCACTTTTTAACAACATGTCAACAACAAATGGGGACCAAGGCAAAATGTACAGACTTGCAAATTCTATTAATTTATGTTGATTTGGTTGTGTAGGTTGTGTCTACACAATTCCATTAGCTATTTTCTTTAGATTGTGTTTTTGTGTTTTCCTTTTGGGGACCTATGAGATGCTTTTAAATAACTTTCTATTTCTTCAGCACCTTTTCAAACTGTCATTAGCTACAGCTCATCTGGTGTGCAATGTTTTCATGACTTCAACAAACACTGGCTCAAAAGGAGCTAGCATATTCTACTTCTAAATGAACCATCTTAAGCTGCATTTGTGAGGTGTGTAAAGGGCTAAGGTATTTGATAGTCAACTGGTAATGCAAGGAGATTTTTAAAAATTGTTTTCTAGTTTGACATGATAACCATTAAATGACAAATCCTGCCAGAAAACCTTTTTACATTGGTTACATATGGAAGCTGGTAAAAGCCTTTAGTATGTATGATGGCGCTGTAAAAAGAGTGTAACTGTATTGTAGACATCAGAGCATTTTCCTTTCATGTATTCCTTTAATTTATGATTATTGATTGTAACAAGTGTATATACGATTTATATACACACCTTAAATATATAGATATATATATATGTTGTTTTTGTTTTTTTTTTAATCACTGAAACAACCATGTTCAGTGTGTCCATAGAGCTCCTGTACATATTTTGTTTCTCATATGTTGTGTCTGAATATATTAAGTTATGGCCATTTAAAATCAGTGCACTCAATGATTTTCTTGTGCATGTTAAATGATTGATTTAGTTTGTTGTCAATCACTGGTTATCATCCTGCAAGTGCTTGTATCTGGGGTATGCCATATCTCTTTGTCCATTCAGTCTGCAGTACTTTCTTAAATTCAAAATTCAATTAAATGGATTTGATTTGTGAGGAATAGTGGCAACTCCTTGTTAACTTTAACTTCATGCCATCAAATTTACTGTTGGATTGTTTATTAGTCTGTGAACTATTTCATAATTTAAATTAACTTTTCTGCTTTTGGTCTGTTGCAAAGTGCCTTCCAAATACTGATTGTGCACAGCAGTGGATTAAACATGGTCCTCTTTTTCTAAAACTGGACAGTGACTGACCAAGACACATTTGTATCAAAGAACTTACAGAAGATGTACAAGATGTAATGACAGTATTTTATCCTCATATTTGACAAGACAGCTCTGGAAGCGTGCAAGTGACATGTTTTGTTACGTTTTTGAACATGTTTCAATATGGACATACTTTTCTATAAATATTTGTTTTTGTATACTGTTGAGCCTCATCTCTTGTTGATACAGAGATGAGTGTAAAATAAAATGCAAATTGCATAAACTTGCAAAATCAAGTTTGTTTCTTTTTTAACACATAATAAAAATTCAAAAAAATCTGGAGATGCTCTTTCACTGAATGTTCCACAGTATGGCATCTTAACTTGGCCATGCCCATGGAGACAAGATGGCAATGGCACCAGGCCAAGTTAAACGTGAGACTCACGTTAAACGCATCTCAAAAATACATCGTCAATGTGGATTCATGAAAAATATTTTTAACTTCAAGTCGCACTGTACATTTGGCCATAGTATTGCAGAAAATAAATTCTAATATTACAGTTGTACAGTGTAATTTGTATATTTAGACATTTTTATACATAAAATTGACAGTACAAATACTTACAAGCTGTTAAGTTAAAACTTAGTGCCTTTTCCAACATCATGAACCTCAATATTGATCTCACTCTTGTTTTTAAAGTTCAGTTGATTAAAGTCCATCATAATTTCAACCATTGTTTTTCCTTTGGTTTCTGGCACAAAATAAATCAGGAAAGCTGCACTCAAAAAGCAATACACCACAAAAATCAAGAAGCAGAACTGGCCAAGTGCATCCTAAAAGCAACATACAGAAAATACAATAAATTGTAAATATTCGTAAGTATCTTTAATTTATTTTGGATCTAATCAAAATAAATGCACATTACCACTATGTATCCAAAACACAGTCCCACAAGGAACATCCCAATCCAGTTTATGGTTCCACTTATCACATACGCAGATGGACGCCATGCCTGTAGGAAGAGGTCAGCAGGCAGGGCCATAGAAACGCCAGCTGAAAATGTTACAATAATAGTTTATCAATAAAAATAACAACAATAGATATATATATTTTTTATATTTAAACTCACAAGGTCCCAATCCATAAATGCTGATAACACAAAATATCAGACAAATGTTGAGGTATGGGATTACTGGATTTAGGTCCTGTCAGAAGCAAATAAATAAATTGAATGTTCAGTTGATTATTTGGTTAATCGCTAATTATTCAGATCACAATATAACTGAAGCAATTTCATTTAATCCAAACACTCAATCCTCACATACTGTGGACTAGTAATGTAAAAGACCAGTGTTTTCTGAAACTGTGATGCATGTACCACTGTTCTTAAAACTACCGTGGGCTGTGGCAATAGTGTAGTCAGTCCTATTTTAGACATGGTTTAGCCCCAAATACTAAAGTGTACCTTGATGGAGAGCATGACAGAGAGAATAGCCATGGTGGTGCCCATCAGGAGGTATCCATATCCCATCAGCTTCTTCCTCCCAGCTCGGTCTATTAGGAAAGACTGCACACAGAGAAATCCTGTTTGTAAGTTTATCTACAAGGAAACATGTAACAATCTTCTTCTGTATGTACACATAACGAGACGGTGATGAGTTCTGTTGCTCCAATGCCTATTGCCAGGTAATGCATTTGGCTCTCTGGGACTCCTGATTCCCGAAAGATGTCAAAGGCGTAGAAGTACAGCTAAACAAGACACACAGCATCGTAATGCGTTAGTAAGTATACAGCCTAATTAGTTGATTTATTAATTATCACTCTCTGATCTCACAGCGTTGATGCCGCAGAGTTGGACTCCAGCGCAGGGGATGGCCAAGGTGAGCAGCTGCCACCTGACGCAGCGTGATGTCAGCACGTCTTTAACAGTCTTGGCCTTCTGACCCAGCGCGCTCTCTCGCTCCTTCTGCATGTCGCTCAGCTCCTCTTTAAGATCCTCCTCCTGCCACAGCCATTGCAGGGCGCGTTTACAGGCCTCCGTGTCGCCCTTGTCGATATAAGTGTACCGGGGGGATTCAGGGAAAAGCAGCAGCGTGGTGAACTGGAAGAAGGCGGGAAGACCACTGATAGCCAACAGTAATGGCCACGCGTTATCCGTGCCCAACAGCTCCCTGGAAAAAAAGAAACAGTCAGGTGACCTATGCCCATAGTGTAGGCCTATATAGGCATGACTCACAATTAACTTGTTTTGTGGTAATAGGAACAGGACAATATCAAACAAATTTACTACCTATTATCATAGGCCTATCTGAGAAGGCATGAGTGTAAAATATTGACAGTATCTCTCTCTCTCTCTCTAATATATATATATATATATATATATATATATATATATAAACTGCTTTAAATATATTAATAGTCTAGATAAATTAAAATAAATATGATAAAAATAAGGTTTTATGCTTCATAATGGAAATCACTTTTGTGCCTATGCCTAGATGTTAAATGATTGGACATTTGCCTAAATTATAAGTTATTCTTGACTTTCAGGGAGTTGCAGATTTTGTTATGAGCACAGCAGCACTTACTTGATCCCAATAATCTGGCCAAATACTTTCCCAAAAGCAATGAAAATGGAGCCTGTGAGCGTCAGAAAACCTCTGAGTTCCTTTGGAGAGCTTTCACCCAGGTACATGAGATGCACACTGACTCCCAGGCCTGGGCAATAATAGATGAATGATGAGAGTAGTATGCAAACTCTATAGCAAACACATGGAAAGGAAGGATCACATACCAACATTGTAGCCATACAAAAACCTCCCCAGCAGAATCATTTCAAAAGACCTGGCTGTGCGACTGAACAGCATGAGCAGGGCAGCCACCATTGCCACAACATTATTGATCAAGAGAGCTTTTTTCCTAAAAGAATACAATCCACAATGATAAATATATATATATATTTTTTTTTTTACAAATAACAATTATAAATAAAATACATATAAAAATACTTTTCAAATAGGCTACATTGCTGTTGTGTCTTACCGCCCGTATTTAACAGGGAAGCTGCCACTGTGGATGGCTCCTGCCCACGCCCCGAGACTTAAAACAGCAACGATAAAGGACCAGATGAGCTGATTGGATGAATCCTCCACTGGACTGCCGTACCTCCACATCCACGTGTAGTTCACAAAACTCTGAATGTGCTGCAGTCAGAGGTTTGTGTTCAAAAACTAACCAATATTTCCAACTTCAAAAGTAATCATGATATTAACACCACAACGAAACAATTTTAAAAAATCAAGAGTTTACTCTCATTCATTCTATTAGATGATCAGTGGATTGGACCTTCCCAATGGCTTGACTGATCTTGAGCTTAATTAGAACTCGTGTATTCTACCCATTTACCTTTACTTAAAATATACACAAAACACCTTTTTGTTGTCTCTGGTGTAACTTTGCTCCTGGAGTACCACATTGTTTGGTTTGCCTCTGTTCAAGGCTAAGTTAAAGACATAACTGCCTCTAACACATAAGGCTAAAAGTACTGTTATTGCATTTTGTATTTTTTGTGTCCAACTTACATCTTTTAATGCATTTATAGAATGTGGTTGCTAAGGCACTCTACAAATACATTTTATTGATTCATTTTTGCCATATGTAGCTTAGCATCTCAGTCTATCAAGATTTACCTCAGCTGGAGGGGCGATGAAAGAGACCTGGATGCCATATTGAAAGGACCCTCCAATGCCCAATATCACAGTTAGTAAATACAACCTCCAATACTGCAATAATAACAGCACATTAAGACAATGCAATTTTACTCAATACAACAAAAAGGGTAAAAAGACTAAAACTAAAGACAACATTAATTAACTCATGCGTGTGCAATAGATTATCCCCAGTGCAAATGTTTAACACAGATATTCAGCTGTTGAGTTGTAGAGATAATGTTAGGGTAATGTCATGTTAGACAGTTCTGAGTGGCTCAGGCTTGTAATGAGAAGTAAAGATTAACAGCTTTAACTAGTAACTGAGATGATCCTCTTTGGGCAATGCAGTTTATAAGACAAAACATGGTTATTTTTTTGCTTATGTCTTTTTTTAAAAGACATAAAAGATAACACCTATACCCATTATGAAGGACAACACAGATATAAACCACACTAATGCAGTCTATCCTAATGGCTCTAAATACTGATTGATTCTACTTTGTAAAAACTGTAATTTGCAAACTTACTAATGTATATAAAAAGAATTTAAAACATTATTTTAAAATGTAAAAATACTAAATTATTGAGACGTCCGAATGAATTTTTGAACAAAAATATCCATATAAAAAAAAAAATCTACTTTTTTTTGTATGGGCTAAATGAAACAATTCTGAATTGTTCGAATAAATAAAATAAATAAAATTTAAAAATCCATTAAGTTAAAACAATAAATGCAATATTTTTTGCAGTATTGAGTGTCATGATTTTTGCCAATCAGAACTATAAATAAAATATAAATTGCATTGTCACAAACCTTGATTGAAGCCATGTTCTCTTCTGACTTGATACAGACAGTGCACAGTATATAAAGGATGTTGGCTGAAGTTACACATCAATCTGCTGTAGTTGTCTATTCATTTTTATGACCATGCTCTGACGTGGTTTTTAGGAAGGGGTTTACTTCTTGCTGGCTCCAGCTGGTCCAAGTGCATGTCCTGCTTAAGCATTAAATTCATTGTAACACAGCAAGGCCAGACAGATGGATAGAGTGTCCTGAGACAACCACAATGTTGCACCTCACATTGGGCTTTAGTAGTAACTATTTGCAAATTCTTGTATTTACAAATAGTTACTACTAATGTTTATGCTTAACAGCATTGGAAAAAATCAAGTTTAGACTGGTCAGAGCAAGATAAGTGCGGTCTTCACAGGACTGTAATAATTGTTACTTATTGACTACTGAAATAATAATTGTAATTGTAATTGTAATAATTGTAATCTTCAGTAAACAATAAACATAAACAGCTCAGACACAAAGACAAGCTGCCATTAAATCTAAATAGCACAAGAAAATCATGTCAGCATATTTACTTTAATCTAGAAAAAATGTTATTGAAATCATCTTGAAGGCACAATAGGAAAATAATTGACTAGTTGACTAATCAAAAAAAAAAGAGTGTCAATAAGCAGATATTGTGGTTAATGGTTATTGATAAACTTAGATTAATACATTTAGATTAATCTTATTCCAGCATATTAAAAAACTCTTAACTGCAGAAAAATCACTAGGACAGAGAGCCATGTTCTTGTTCCCTAATAATGACAGCTTTGTATTTTCTATTTAAAGCAGGGCAACTTTTTACCACATTTTACTAAGTCTCTGGCCTTTCATTACAGTAGAGTGGTAAATAGTATCAAGGACACATTCTCATGCAAATGCAGGCAATTGTCAAAAAAGATATTTAGTATCATCATGGTCAATACTTGACATGTGAAATAGATTTTAACATCTGACCCTCCACAGGGTGTGAGTGGGAGGAGTGACAATGGATTTTCTGTAAATCTGTAAATCTGACTCCACACTCAAAATGCCATGAATGTCAACACAGACATTATAATGGCTAAAACACCTTCACCACCAAAATGTTTTAAGGGATGTGGATGTTGGGTATTTCATGGCAAAGTAAAGTATGGTTAAAGCTGGCTCCCTCATATCTGGGAGAATTATATCATCACTCAAGAATCAGAAAAAAAATATATTGCCCTTAAAATGACAACTAATGGCAGTTTTGAAGTCCTAATGAAGTAGATTAGTTTAGATTAGATTAGATTAGATCACATTAGATCAGATTAGATTAGTATCCATTGTGTTTGTGTCACAGGTGTGTCACACCACCAGATGTACACATAATAACAACAACGCTTCACTATATTATCATATTTTATGCAGAATTACAGTATGTTTGCATGTCAATAGACCATATGGAGTAACTATAGATAATTATTCTGGTTATTTCATGCTGATAGACCTGTCATGATAAATACTATTGACTTATCATTCAGTATGTAATAGATGGAACACTAATTTTGGGGATAAATATTTATTGTGAGAACTTTTTTTGTACTATACGATGAGATTTAAACTGTAGAGGGTTAAATTATGAACTATTTTCAATATACATAACTAAGTATTGCAATGTGTTATTTATTACAGCTCATATATAGAACAAATGTACATTTAGAATACTTTTTGGGAAATAATTCTGGTTTATGGTTTGGTTTCAGTATTATTGTTTATCATCTTTACTTCAGCAATATATACACTTCAAAATGTGTTATTGTTAATTTACTAAAATCAGTTGAAAATCTCATATATGTACAAACAGTTCTATCTGATTAATGAAGTCTAACAGAAATGTGAAAATACAATGATTCACTCATTGCATAACAATGTTGTTATTGCATACTTGTAATGAGGATTGTATAATATGAGAAAACTGGAGTGCTGGCTAGTAATCACTACAGGGTGTCGGGTCAGGACAGCGATTATAGACGTTCTGGTGAGTTAAAATGAGGGAGTCCACATCCAGGTAATGTCGAACGTTTCTTTAATGTCTGCGTGCTTAAACACGTGTGTGTGTGTGTGTGTGTGTGGTTGTCTAAAGGACGCACACTATCATTCAGACATTAAAGTGTCCGAAACACAGCCGATGCACTGAGCGTCACGCCGCTATACTGACTCAAGAGTTCGTGACTCACTCGGTGTGCAAGCGCACCCCTCTTGTGGTGAGAAAGAGTATAACAACAAACAACAAACAACAACTAATATATAACAATACTAAACGTCTTTTATACAATACTTAAACAATCTCCAGCACAGTTAGAGAAACACATTTCATCTGTGCAAATGTGAGCCATGAATTCAGTAAGTCAATCAAACAGAAAAAGAAAAATATCAGGCACTTAGTTAGAAAATATCTTTATTGTGAGCATGGAGGAAGCATTAAAAATACACCAACGCGTGTCGGCTAGTGCCTTCTTCAGGATCTGATCATGAATGAGAGGTTAGGACCAATTTAAGCTCACACACTCCAGGTATGCAAGGCGGAGGCTTCACTCATTCAGTTCTTCTGTTTGGACACGAGGGATAGTAACTTCTTAGCTTGAGGACAATCTCATTGAGGGCACTAGAGGGCAGTCATTTTATTTTAGCAGGGACCATTTTTACATCAAGCTCTAGAGGGCAGTTAAATTGGACTATTTGTACTTAGGGTTGATAGTTTTGTTTAACATTTCCATACAAATTGAGGTTATAGGTAGCAGGAGAGATTGAAGTCTTCATTTAGGCCTGGGTACTCTGTGGCCTTGAGAACTAAAATCCAATAGGCCTCTCTTTTCTTCAGGTGCTGGATCCTGTGCCCACCTCTCGCATCCAGTGTGATTGCTTCAATGCCATATACAGTCAGGGTGGAGTCACTTCAATGGTGATCTTCTATACAATGTCTGGTCATTAGATAATTTAGCTTTTTGGAATGAATGGCCTCCTTTTGGTGAGGTTAAATATAGATTAAATATTCAAACAATCAAACAATTGGACATAAGTTACTAATGGTTAAAAACAAAAAATGCACACCTTATAAATCTGTATGTAAATGTTTGTCTATGTTTATAATTTATTTTACATTAATACATAAATGTAATTTGACCTACTCCAGAGGAAGGAGTAATTTTATACAATACCCAGGGCAGCTGTGGCTACAATAGTAGCTTACCACCACCAAGTATGGAGTGAATAAATTATGACTACAGTGCAGCGCTTTGACAAGAATGTTAAGTTTTTCACAAGTTTACATAAACATTTTCTCATAGACATATCATTATATTATGTCTATATGAAACAAATATAAAGTCTTATAAAATATTTACAGTCCCATTAAATGCAGCAGCAGTCTACAGTGCTGTGGAGTGGCACACCTCGCCTAGCTGGTATTTGGCCTGACACTGGGGAGAGTGCAGAGGGTCCAGGCCTTTGAAGTTGAGCTTGTGAAACTCTGCTGTAATGGCAGACAGAGACTTCCCTTTGGTCTCTGGGAGAAACATACCGACGTACATAGAAGATAACAGGCACACTGCAGCAAACGGCACGAAGCAGAACTCCTTCAGCCCACTCTGGAAAAATATTAAGATTTTAAATGAGAATAAACATTCTACTGAGACTCTATACTATTGTCCTAATAGACTTGATTTGTAACAATAAGGAACAAAAGTAGTAAGAACGTAATAGGCCATAGTAGCATGATTATGTATTCACATAAAGAAACTGTAGGTTCCTGGTCAGAAGGTGCCCAGCTGAGGGATTAGCCCACTCTGTATGTATTGTGTTGTTGGAGGAATATGGAAGTAACCCACAGTGAAATAAACCACTCAGAAAAATCCTATATTGTTAGAGACCTTGTTTTGCAACTGTGCCAGCACTGGGGCTTCATTCACCATTGGAAATTTGGGTTTATTTTAATAGCATGTGTTTAAAAGAAGGGAGAAAACCAGTGTCCATAGATTCATAGAAACATAATGCAGGTTTACACAACTTGTTCTTCTTGTTCTTTCTCCATTATTTACACTAGTTATAATATTTCTTTTAATAAATTACTGACCACTAGGAAAGGAAAGATCATCCCAACAATGAAAAGGTTGATCCACATCATTGAGCCGGCAATCATATAGGCTGCAGGTCGTGCTGACTGATTAAAGATCTCTGTGGGCAACACACCAGTGACTCCAGCTGAAGGAAGAAAGGCTTTTTTAGATCATTATATCATTCTATGTATTTATTTTTAGTTTAAAGTCTCTTACCTGGCCCCATACCAAAACTGAGGATGTATGTGAATATACATGCCATGCTCAAATATGGCATCCATGGAATATAATGCTGTTTAGGAGAGGAAATAAAACAAACTATTGTGATATTACATGAAATAGGTTAGAATGGACACCATGCAAATGTATATGCAGTGATGAGTCTGTTAGAACCACAAGGTATAATAAAAAATATAATGATGGTGGGTGTTGTTGACATGACAATAGCAGCCATCTTGTGATGGTAAGAAGAGGAATTTTCTGAGAAAGAAAAACATAAATATGGACAAAAATAATTAGTATTAGTATCCACTGTGTCTGTGTGTCTCACCCCCAGATGTATGAATAATAACATTACTTCACTGTATTATTATATTTTATGCAAAGTTACAGTATGTTTACCCATCAGTACACCATATGGAATAACCATAGGTAATTATTCTGTTTGTTTCACACTGATAGTACTGTCACAATATATACTATATCGATACTACTATTACTATATACTATATATTTTTTTTAACCACCATATTTATGATATAACTTAACATGATTATTAGATAAAGCACAAAATTCATATTTAAAAAAGCACAGAGAAATTGTATTGTCACATTTTACAATCAGAACTTCTTGAACAGGATGTCTGATTCAATAGGTTAAAACAGTGCAATGAAATATATGTGTAGTGAAAGCTGTACTATACCTCAAATGAAAGGGCAATTGTGAAGACCACAGCCCAGACAGTCATCAGTATAAAGCCTCCCATCAGCATGAACCTCCGTCCTTTACGCTCAATCAGCAAGTTCTACAAAGAGCACAATCATATTGATAGATAATTATATAAAGTTTTCAGTGATTTATTAAAAATTATCTTTTTTTTTTTTTTTTTTGCAGGATTCACATAATATCATTATTTTTGCAGGAAGAGGACAAGGCCAGAGTGGTGTATAGCTAGCCATTTGTGTGATAAGAATTCAGTATTTATCTAAAGTAAGTTATCAAGTAATGTTGACATGAATGTAACACTGTGTTAGGATCTACAGCACTGTTTCCCAATCAGGGGTATGTGGACACTTGCGGGTACTTGGAAGTATTTCAGATTTAAAAGAAAGATGGAATTGGACAGTATTTTAATCTAAACTCTTCTTAGCAATATTTTGTACATAATAATAATGTGAAAAAATGCTGTTACACAATAGCAGAAAAGGTACATGAGACAAAAAAGATTGGGAACTTCTGACTTGCAGTTGACAATGGATCAACTGTCTACAAGACCATAATGATAAATAAATAGTTAAATGTAAGCCAAGAGCATTATGTGTCTTACATAAACATTAACGTTGCATTTGCACTACAGACTGGAGAAAAATGCAAACGACATGCCGCTGTAGCCTGTTACATAACATGCCAGACAGACGGTACTTACACACATGATGCAGGCAGTAAATTCACATGAACCAGTGCCTATTGTGATATACTGGATTTTATCAGCAGAGATCCCAGCCTCTTTGAAAACATATGAGGCATAAAAGTAAATCTGCAACAGAAAATGGCAAAATGAGACTTAGAAGCTATTGTGATTGTATAACTCCTAATAAGCTCCTGTTGGCCTAATTTTAATAATAATCTGTCAACCTCAGTGCACATTTAAAACCTATAAGTGGCTTTGTACAAAATCTAAAAAGTTAGGACATAGTTAAAGTATAAATAATGTAAAATGAAACTCAATTTATCATATGGTATCCATTCACAAAGATATGACAAAAATGAAATGGGAGCAAAAAGGTTACAGAAATCCATAAATAATATGACTCAAATGTTATAATACATTATCTGCTATAATGGCAGTATTTTTGAATGAAGGCTATGAGTCATGGGTCTGTGCTAACTGAACCGCAACACTTTCCCCTACTATATGATATAGGATTAGTTTATGATTGGGAAAGGAAAATGTATTATTGATGTCATGTCACTTGCATTGTCAAAGTAAAGGCTGCCTTGTCATCTCAAATATCTCTCTCCCCTTGTGTGCAAAGCAAAAGGCTATATGATAAGATGACTCAACTTCAGTGTCAGTTACAAACAGTTTTTGTTGTTGTTAGTTAATTTTACAGTTAATCGTGATTTTGTAGAAGAATCGGTTTTAAATTTTTATGATCCAATATGTATGTCACTTGAAGGTAAGGTAATTATGTCTGCAGGTAGCCTATGGTGATCTTGAGGGAGTGGACAATATGGCCAAAAAATAAGATCATGATTTTCTTTAGATTTTATCATGATTAATGTACACTTATTCACATTTCACTGTGATTGGTTAAATCCTGCTGTCACTCACTCAGAGCTTTACCAGTGCTAGTCAATATGAAAAGTGGGTAGGGAAAAGTGTCTGTGTTTGAGTAGACCAATGAAGACAAATGGTGAATCATATTGCCCAGCTATGTATTAACTAAAATGAAATGTACAATAGGGATAGCACTTTTCATCTTTATGCTAAAATGTGAAATCTGTATAGTTCCTACCGAATCATTTCCACAGAGTTGCATGGCACTGCTGACCACAATGACAGAGAGGAGTTGCCAGCGCACGGCCCGGTCTGAGAAGAGCTCCCAGGGCCGACGGGGCCTCACGCCTTTGGACTGAGCCTGCTCCTCCAGAATCTCATCCAGCTCACTGCTCTCCACTTCACAGCCACGCAGACGCCGCAGAGCTAACCATGGAACACAAGGTCCATATACTTTTTATAGCAAGGGTAATGTATTATTATTTATTGCAGTTCAATTATAGATTTTATCAAATAAGTATCTATAATAAACTTTAATTTTATCAATTTAAAGTTAAACAATTTAGTTCAACAATAATTTTTTTCACAACTTGATATTCAAGTTTTGTTACATAATCATTCTCAAAATGTGTGGAATCCATGAGAAAACCACACTCAAAGTTAAAGGTGTACCATGCAATTTTTCTGGTCTGCTTTGCCTGGAATGTTCCACAAAATGATGATAAAATTGTCTATGTCCTTGGAGACAGGAAGCTCATAGTAATACATGCTTTTTAATATATGCAGCAACAACAACTTCAGTAACTGAATAAACGCAATGTAAATATTTTTATACTGTAGAAAAATTCTAGGCAATATAATTCTAGGCCATAATATATGGCATTGCCTCACACTTGTAAAGCTACAAAATGTACCTTTAATTTTCTTTGTTTTGATTACATGCAACAATGAAGCAGGCAGTAAGATTAGGATACAGTTAGCTTGATCTTAAACTACATTTGATAAGAGGAATTATACTGTTTACTTAAACAGATTTGTAAAATATATGCATGTTGCAGCTGTCTACCGTTTAAACAACCCTCCTTGTCCTCCCTGTCGATGAGCAGGTATCTGGGGCTCTCAGGGAACCAGGGCAGAGTAAGAAGCTGAATAAAGCCAGGAATAGCATTACTGGCCAAGAGATACTGCCAGCATGGCTCACTCCCCAAAATCTCCCTATGAATAAAGACAAATATTAGACATGCAAAAGAAGTTATCTGTGTCACTTTTCACAAACAGCAGTCACCTCAGTCCGACCACCTGTCCCAGGACTACACCGAATGCTGTGAACACTGCTGAAGAAAGAGATATGGCTCCTCTCAGGTGCTTAGGTGCACTTTCTCCAAAATACATGGGCTGGACATTCATACTGATTCCTGCAAAATAAAATGTAAATAATTTGTTAACATGCGCAAATCTTGTTAATGATCCATTCTGAAGGTGTCACGTAATTGGTCTTTCTAGTCCAACTCTGCAGTGATTCGCAACTTCAAAACACTGCTTTAGGCTATCTTGCATTGTCCTGCATTTGAGGCTGCTTGAGTGCACTGAAAATGTAGTTTTCTCCCTTCTCCCTATCCCTGCTGACTGCCCTGTACTTCCATGCAAATATTTAAAACATTCACGCTCTGCGTCATACATGTAGGGTTTGACAATGTAAGTACACAAGAGCAAAAACACATGTGAAAAATGTCTGTGTAGTCCCTCAGTCACCTAGGTTTGTAGAAAAATTACATTCTGTCAACTGGACAATCTTTTTTTAATTTTAATTTTTTGTTTTTAAGCAGATATAAGGCAGTGTCCACCAGAAATCTGACCTGAAGCTGCTTGAATGAGCTGTTCAACGTCACTCAAAAAACAGAATTGAATTTTTTGAAAAATCACTATTAAGTATTAGTTCTGCAGTTATGAAGTATAAGTCAAATGGTGATTTACATATATTACAGCATAATACTAAATACTTAAAAAATAAAATAAAATTAGCACCTACCAGCATTAATTCCCACAAGCACCCGAGAAATTATGATCATCTCAAAGGACTTGGCAGCTCGGCTGGTCACAGCAAGGAGTGCACCACTCATAAGGAAGATGTTATTCAATAGTAAGCATTTTTTTCTGGAAAAATTCAAGATATTTGGAGTTCATATATATTCCTTCTAGATCAAAGAAACTCAGATAAAAAAGCATTTGGTGAAAGACAGTAAATGAATAATCCACGTTTTGATCATTAACAGTGGAGACACTGCCAGTACAAACATTTGTGTTTTTATGCTACAACATTGTTATTTTTACCTTCCGAAATGAATGGTCATCGGGCCCGCAATTAAGGCTCCAGTGAAGCCCCCCAAAGAGAAGATTGAAACTATGACTGTCCAAATTAAAGTCACTTGGTAATCCTCCAACTGTATTTCCCAACGCTCTTGAAATGTTTCATTGATGAAGCTCTGAATGAACTGAAGAAGAGTTTTGAACAGTTAACCATTACATTACATTTAACACACACTCAAACTTCTTTTGCAGACAAATCCTTTGACCCCTGTGTCCACACTAGGGACATATTAATCTGCATTCATTCCAACTAATTAAGGTTAAGGTTAAGGTACATTTGCCCCAGTAGGGAAACTGATCCGCTGCATTTGACCTATCCTTCAATGCCACTGAAGTATCTGCTCATGAGCAGTGAACAGTGCAGTACTCAGGGACCCATCTCCTTGATCTTGTTGCTAGGCTTGGTCAGGACTACTTTGATTGATTAAAGTTTATTAATTAATAATGTAATTAATAAGATTACTTTAGCTGGAGGATTTGACCTATTGAATATGGAATGCTCGGAGGAAACACAAATGATAGTATAAACGAAAGATGCAAAATGATAGAAAACTTACGGTAGTAGGTGCATTCATAATAGCCAAATTATATCCATACTGCAGGGTCCCGCCAATGGCAGCTGATGCCACCATTAAGACCAGAGTCATAGGACTACCCTGTGGGTGAAATCACATCCTCCAATCAATAATTCAGCATGTGTACAATGACACTATACCCTGTCAATATGTTTGTACTGTACATTTTTCTTTTTTTGTTTTTAGTTAAAGCAGGTGAGTATGCCTATAACAGTGTTGTGGCTTTCCCCCCCTAAAAATCCATTTACATCAATCTGTTTATCTACATTTAAAATAATAAAAAACTATTCAGGAATAGGAAGGGTATAGGCTACATATTAACATACCTGTGTTTGTACTGTGAAATATTCGAGTATATAGACTAATTTGTAAATTAATGGAAATCAGTAGACTAATATTTCCCACCATTGGTAAAGTAGGTGGTAGCTGGAATAAGAATTGCCTAAACTAGAACTACTGTAGCCTAGTAGTTCACTGAAATAAACTTTACCTTATGACATTTTTCAGGGGAGAAGCACTCCAAAGACAATTTCACTTACTTAGATTAAGATTGCATATCTATTTGAGTGCTAAACATAGTTTTACATATCATAAACGAAAAAATGCAATTAATATGAATAAAAACTGAATAGATAACTACCTTTTGTCCTCCAGGGTTGGACATGCTGACTGGCACTCGTTACTGTACAAAATTAAGTCCTAGAGCCCTCAGCTGTATTAGGAGCCCAGGTTATAGCAGTTTCAGGTTCAGCCCACCATTTCTCAGCTTCCAATTAGAGCCCTCACACACTTAAGACGAGGCCACCTCTCATGAACGCGCACATGCTGACCGGTGTACTTTACTTTACAATGGCCAAGCTGGACGAATGAGTGACCGCGAATGGAACACAGTTGTACCGCTTTGACGTCACACTTCTGGGATAGTGAGAGATTAAAAACAACACAGGCCCTATGGACTTCATAGGTAAAACAATTCAATTAACAGTTAGTGAAATTTGTCTTAATAATTAGTTAACTAAATGATGTTGTCTGTAACTTTCAAGTCTCAAAATTACATTTTGTGGCTGCCCAAACGTTCAATCGTCCAGCAGATGGCGCTAACAGATAACACCCAAACCCATCTTTTTTGATTGATTTCTTACATTTTACACGAGAAAAAGGTCTGCCACTGAAACCTAGGCTACTGAAAAGCCAATCCATTTAGTTTTCATACATTTGTTTTAGAAGTTTTAATTATTGCAATGTTTTATTTTTTATTGACTGGTCTATTGAGACATAGTTTCATTTTAAGACATACACTTTTTTTTTTTTTTTTCAATTTTCAGTTTTTGTTGAACCATTTTACAGGAGCAAATTGACGTGGTATCATTTACACTCCAGCAAAATTTCTTTTGAAGTTTTGCGTAAGTGCATAAAGCGTGCGTAAAGCTCAAATCTCCACACAGATGCGCATCCAGCGCTGGTGCCATATCGGGGTCATAATGAGTAGACACACCCTCTACCCCCTCCCTCTCCGCCTGTAATTGGCCAGCCTCTGACAGGATTACACGGGTTTCCTCAATTGAACGCCAGGCAAGGGAAACGACCGGGGCCGCTGTGCATTTGGCTAAAAAATAAACAAGGATTATTGATCAGTTTTCGTCACATTGGTCCTGTGTTGAAGATATAGATATCACCTTTGTGTTGAGGCGGATATTTCTCCTGTTCGTGCGTGATCATTGGATTAAATGTGTTATTTTCCACTGACGGTCCCACTGGAGTCCCCTGTGCCACTAATGACTAATGTGGCTTCTAAAGACACGGCTGCGCTTGACTGAAGATCCGCTGCACACCTCATCATGATGATGGCAAAGATTCTCTGGGACACGATCTTATTAATAAGTGGTAAGTATGTAAAAGTGACTTTTCTTTGTCAAATGCCGTACCTTTATGAAGAACCGTATTTAAGTTAGTTATGATTTTAGTGTTTAATATCTATGCTAGTTATAGATAAATGCACAACTTTGAATTACCAAGTATTGCTTTGAAGCAACTCCTTGACAGCTCTTTAAGTATGTGTCCAAAATGTACATTGCTTCATAAACATCTACCATTCTATATACAACATAAAGGTGGATTTGCTGGTCCATTTTGCTTAGTTTCATAATTCCCCCCAAAGCTTCCCCTGTTCTACTGTATGCAGATTAATCTTTGTCTCTTTATGTAACCGAGTTCTTGTATAAATATTATCGGGTAAATCCTTGTGTCTGGTCTAAAAACTGTTTTTCTCTATCTCTGTATTTATTTATTTATTTATAGGACGTATCCTCTCTATTTAGCCATCCCTAGTTGATCTCTGTTGTTAGATAAGTTTTCTTAATGAAGGCACTAGACCTACTACCCCTCAGGATCCAACTGTAGGTTACCTGACACCTCCCTTTGTCCCATTAAACCACAATACAATAATGCCCCTTTTTATATTTCTTAGGTACTTTTAGTATATCTTTGATTCTCAATGGTGAGTTTACTGTTATCTTTCTATTACAGGCTATTGTTGTTATCATAGGTCAAATATATATATAACAACATATATATGTAACATTTCTTTGATTCCTCTCACAGGGTCCCTCTTTACATTTGGAGCAGGGCAGAACAATTCAACACTTAGTGACGCCAACGTCTCCTTTAAGAGTAACTCTACAAATTTGCCATATTTTTCAACAAATAACTTTTCATCTCCAAGCCCAACAACCATTGCAACTAGCACAACAGGCACTACTCCTATTAAAAGTAAGTATTATTGTAGCTTTTACATTTCTTTTCACTGCAGCTAAGTTTTTGAAGATGTCTACACCATAGATTCCCCAGTGAGCTTTCTTCTTATGCCAACAATGTGTGCGTCATAGTGATAATAAATCCTCTTAACTATATTCTTGCAAATCGAAGAGCAACAGAATAATAATAATTTCACTAGTCAGGCACACATCAACATATCCTGAAGGCGGTATAAGATTTCATTATTGTTATTTTAACCCCTCTTTCCAAATCACACGGTAAGGATTGATGGTTTGGTTGGTAGGCAGATGCCGGGGGACAAGAGGGAGCTTTGAGTCATTCTGAAAGGAGAAGACAATGCATATAGGCTGGCTTCCAAAAATGCATTTGCTGTTGGAATGGAGTGTGACAAGACGACCATCTCTTGCCTAAATACCACTGTGACATAAGCCAATATGGAAAACACTAGCTACTGTTTAGAGCTGCTAATTTAGGAATGTGTCTTAACTGTATGCCTTAACGTTCCAGTCTGACAATGTTAATTTAATCAACAATGTTTGTGCTGGTGAAAACTGAGATTCTCCAACCACAATAAGATAGAGTTTCTTTAAAAATAAATGTCTCCTGGAGGCATATTTTTGGGTTCTTGTGATTCAGGTTAAAGGATTTGGATTTCAAAGTGGTGCCAGAGGTTATTTTTTTGCTTTTCAGAATAGAGTCAACATGAGAATAAGAAACACAACAAAAGGTAATGCAAGAGAGCTGTGCTCAGTGGCATGGATGCCAGTTTTAGGATTTAGTTTGTGCCCTTTTAGCTGTTTATGCTAAGACTATTCTTGCTGTCATTATATTTATTTATTAGTAAATATATCTTATTTTAGCTAAGTGATGTTTTCTATTTAAAAATATAAAACAATTTAAATATAGAGGCTTATTTAGTATTGTTATATTAGTGAAAAACTAAACTACGTAAACTATTTACTTCAGATGAGGTCTTAATTGTATTATACAATATGAAAAAGCTTTTTACCCCATTTATGTAATTCTCAGTAATATCTGTTGAAGTTGCATAAACTGAAGTTGATAGGGTTGTGATGGAAGAGAACAGTAGCTGTAGGTAGCTCTAGCTTTAAATTTTTCATCATTCTGAAACCCATGGATAGATTAATAAGTGACAAGTGAAGAGCTGAAGCTATGCGTAACATAGAAAAATCAGGAATACTTAAAATCAGTAAAATAACAGATAGTCAAAGGGATCAGATTACTATTATGTTTATACTAAGCTGTTGTAGTTTCATATCTGATTTTAAAAAGTTTAAACTAAAATGTGTGCACTTGTGCCCAGAGTTTGTGGCGGCGGCAGTGCGGTCTCACTTTGACGAATGCCCTGACTCCCATCGTCACTTCTGTTTTCATGGAACATGTCGCTTTCTCATTCTGGAGGAGACACCTGCGTGTGTGTAAGCACCTACCTGTTTGTTATTACTATGAACAATGCTGTGCTTAGTCATGTGTTTCTAAAATGTTATAGTGGTCATGGGAATAAAACAAGTCATTTCAAAGTAATATAAGTATAATTCAAACTAGATCCAGTAATTTCAATTCATCATTAAAGTTTGTAAATATTTTTGGGAGTTTGGAGCTGGATTCAGACATTGACTGAGGAAGAATTTTACGTTAAAGCTCATCTTATTTGTGTTTGAAATATACAATATTGTAAGCATTTATTGTTTCACTGAAAATGGAGATCAACCAGTATGAGGAAATTAGCCTTTTAGCTATTATTAGTAAAGTCAACTTTAAGTGTGTTTGCAGTTAGTTGGTTTTACAACTGAAAGAGGTTAAATTTGCAATATTTTTGGGTATGTGTCAAGCCGTCATAGTCTTAAAAGTGACCTGTCAATAAGAGTGGAGGTAGATACAGGAAACATACAGGAAAAAACAAATTTGCATATAAAGGTTTTGTAGCAAAGAAGTGATATGTGAAACTAGATTTGTTCATGCTAAATTTTGCTTTACAGGTGTCATCAAGGTTTCGTGGGGATACGATGTGAGCATGCAGACCTATTGGCGGTAGTAGCCACCAAAAACAGTCAAAACACCTACGCCACAGTATTAGTGTTCTGTGTCATCAGTTGCATCCTTTTAGCAGTGCTGGTTACTCTTCTACAGTAAGTAACAGGACTTCAGTGTCATCACCTTTCATAGATACAGTATTGTTTAGTTAAGTTGTTTCTTGTTTAGCTGCTGGTGGAGACAGCTCTGCCGTCGTAGAAGATATGCACATCACTACGCCTCTGAGAAGAACAGTAGTGGAGTGTCCTACTGGCCATCAGAAAGTGGTATGGAATGCTACATCATGAGATAAAATATCAAATATCTAATCTACATTACATATTAATTTGAGGTGCTTTTATAGCTCTAGTGCTTTTTTTATAGTCTGGTCACAACCTTCTCCTCCACTTCAGACTCAGAGCCATGCACTCATGTTCATTTCATTGACATCTGTTATTTAACTATATCAGACTTCCCTCACTTCCGATTAACAGCATTTAGTGCTTCACATATTAATCTACAAGAAATCTGCTATGTTCTTCGGTACCCTGTTATTTTTTATTTGTAAGATAACCTGTCAGTCACACCCACCTGAACTCTGGAAGATAAAACTTGTGTCCAGACTACGAGTAAAAGGATCTGAAAAAGTGTGCATTGTTGACTGGCCAAAAAACACTCTCCATTCAGATATAACCATCAAATATTGGAATTCTAAGCTAACACACATATATTTATTTCAGTGGTTTAAGAAGGAGCTGTGAAGATGCTTTGGTGGCTTTGGAGCTGGCTGCATCTTGTGTTTGGCTTTCTTTGTGCCTCGGACCCACAAATCTTCTAGCCTTCAAGTGATGTTCTCAAAATCTGAAGAGGAAATACTGGGATTATAAAAGATGGATTTGGTTGACTTATTCTGCTTGAGAAAAAATGTTTTCTGTGTCTACACCATCTGTGGAAATCTATACAGCAACCAGCAGCCCTCCATTCAAATGATGGAGAAGCTCTGTTTGGTCTCAGACCAAACTGAAGGAAGTCATCATATCTGATAACTTTTGGTAGAGAATGAACTCCGAACAGGCTTTATTCAGGTAAAAGGACTACCAGGTTTCACTGTCTTGAACCAAAAGCCTTTAATTCCTAATAAAGGTTTTTAAGGGAGCACATTTTTCACAACTTGATGAGCACAGAATATTTTTTTATTATAAGGTGAAGGGACATACCACTGGTTTAAAGGACATTTATGGGCTGATTTTAAGGAACTCGACTGCACTATTTGTAATTAGGAACTGACTACTGGACAACAATGTAAGCGCATGAAAGGTCCTGGATGAACAAGGATTCCCACTGGTGAATTATAGAGAGCAAACACACAAATTGTGTGGTTTAAAGTTAACTGTTGTGAAACTGAAGATGAACTCTATTTGGTCAGTTTATTTTTTATTCCTGAACTATACTTGAATATTCTCTGGCATGCTATAACTCGACTCACTTTGTGGATATGTCACAGTATATTTGTCTTAAAAGTCTGCACTGTTTAAATTTTACTCACTTCTGGAGGTGCATCTACAGAGATGCCCTGTTTTAACCCTGAGCACTGAAGGGGTCACGTGGTGGAGCACATCCTATCTAAGTATGATAGCACTTGCATTAAAAAAAAAAAACATTGTACATTTGCACAATTAGTTTTATGTCGGAGCTATTATAGTATTGCCGAATTTTAACAATAATTATCTTTAAACTGCATTTAAATAAATTGCTAATAAGGAATATAAAATTGACTGAAAATTTGATTTGTGATTTTCGATATGAGGCATTTATGAGCCCATATTTTTGCTTTGTTTACATGACCTTGTCTTTGTTTGTCTCTGTGGAGAGGTCTTTTTTATTCGTGTTTTACTTTTCTGATGTATTTTGTGTCTTTATATTCTCATTTATGTTTCAATGTTGAATTAAATATCAAACAGCATGTCCATGTGTAGTAGGATTTCATACATCACCCTAACACTACACTAACTACAGAAGCTCAGTAATCCCCAGTTTCCATTTTTTCAAAATCCTTAATTCTCTACTTCTGTCTTTTTGTTGAATATTTCAATATGGAAAATGGCCATCAACACGAAACTCAGGTCCTTAGGCATATTATAACAAAGAGTGCATTTCCTGAGTGCTTTTATAGCTGAAGGAGATGTGTCAGTTCTTTCTGTGTGGTCACTCACTGATTCGTCTCCTCTTTCAGCTCTGAATATAGTTTTATGTCACAAGAAGCATCATTTTACTCCATTCAAGTGAGCTGCATCCGCTGTACAGTCATTTTTATTCTATAACATGGAGTTTGATGTATATCTAGTCCTTTCACTCTTCATGTGAGGGCAGCATTTAGTTTCACAATCCCATTAAGTGTGCAATTGGATTTCTGCACAGCCCTTTAGAGCCGTCTGGCTGAGCTTCTAAACCTGCTTTGATTTAAGCAGCTCTTGTGGATGTTTTCTTGAAGATACACTTAAGCCTTTGACAAATGATAAAATGTATGGACAACCAATACAAGTAAGCTATCAATGCAAACTGATTTTGGTTCATGCAGATTTAATATTACAAGTCAGGAGAAGTGGTGTGAACAGAGTGATTTTGGTATGCCATTTTTATTCCTCTTTTAACCTGTGAATGGTGTTACTACGATCTGCTTTAGTCCAGATGGTTTAGAGCTGTCTTTAGTCAGGTATTAAGGTTAAGCAACTGTGGCCTGTATTCATTCTCAAAGAAGCGAACCACTTTAAACTGGCTATGTACAATGGCCAAACAAAACCTATGAAAGGAGCAGATAACTTTCACATTATTTTTTATGCATTTCTTCTCATCAAATGAAGATATACCATACCTACATAATCTGAACTGAGTTAAAAAAAAAAAAAAAAGTCCAGTGCTTCAAAAATATTTGTACTTTATTAATTATTTTTAGCCACATAAAAAAAAAACGGAGGTACTGACAACAGCCATTTATTACTTTAAAACTTGGTTATTGCCAGTGTCCACTAGATGGCGGAATATTT